AGTGGTAATATATCTTCTGAGACCTAGATGTCACGGAAAGGACTGCTATATGGAAAAACATCTGAGTGACCTGACTGTGAATGACACAAAGACCTATATGTTACAAAGAGTTACTTAATCCAATGAATTTACCCAAGGATAGTAGTAACTCTCCCATTAGCGACTCTGAGCACTTAAGAAATGTTGTGTGTCTAAGATAATTTTGTAAACTAAGATTAATGCTTTAAGTAATTAGATGAACTTATTATACAGTGTATGTAACCATAGAAGGAAAATCGGATGTATGATCTCATGATTAACCATATATGGAAAATGTATGATCTCACTGAATCCTTTGTCTTAGAAATGTATAAAAACCATTGTATCAGAGTTCTTTCTTTGTTCAAAGCTTCAGGTACAAATCTGGCTCTGAACCTTGCGCAATAAAGCTGTCTCTGACTGACCTGGGAATGTTTTTTAGTCCTTCCATTCCACTACAGAGCTAAATACCATGAATCCTTCTTAATCTTATCTGGTTTGGAGCCGAGCAAGCATGTCTCTGGTGACCATTCAATTTTTTGTTCTAAAATCTTATTCAGCCATTTTTTAATTTTTCCCCAACATTTTTTTGCTTCCTGGCATGTCCACCATTGATGATGGTAGGTGCCTTTTTCTTGCCCACATTTCCAACAAACAGGCAATTGTCCAGCAAACATTTTAGCCAGTCTATCAGGGGAGAGATGCCACCTATATATCATCTTATAAATGTTTTCTTTGTAGGTCGTGGAGACTACTGATTTCATATTTTCCCACCATATCCCTTGCCATTTGTCTAAGTGAATTGGGTACCCAAAATTTTTCCCCCAGGCAATCATTGTGTCTTTGATTATCTCATCACCTATCTCTAATTCCATTAGTAATTTATAACTTTTTGAAGTCATGCCTTTTTCTTGGCCCATCAAGATTTTATCTAATTTTTGTAAATCCACGTGTATGCCTTTTCCATCTCTGTCTTTTTAAAATGTGGATTGGATCTGCAAATAGGTCCACCAATCTATTTGTATTCCTAATGAGTTCAATTCCTGTTTAGATTTTAGTTTTCCCTGTACATTCAATAAATCTTTGTATGTTAATTTCAAACAAAGAGAGAATTCTGATACAACTGGTTTTATACATTTCTAAGACAAAGGATTCTGTTAACTCAGTAGTTTATATGGTCATATACATTGGTTATATTTACTTGACATTTCCTAATTACTAAAGTTTTACATTATCCTTGCCAAACAATCATAATTCTTCTGTAAATTACTGGAGTATAGATTCAAATTATCTTCTGTTGATAAACGACTTCTAGCTCATGTGGATCCCCTTGACCTTACCAACCTTTAAGCTGTATGTCATTAGAATGTTCCTATCATCTGACAACTTAGAGGCCTCCTAAAGGTATCAAAAGGATTTTGGCTAACTTTGTACTTTTTCCAACCGGATGCATTTCCTGCTTTTAGAATAGAGTGAATAGAAAGTTATCCAGTGGTCATCTATCAGATCCCGCTTCATCTACATTAAGACTGCTGAACCTTGCGCAATAAACCTTTCCTTTCAATAAAGAGCTGGTGTGGTCTCTTTTCTGTAACACAGTGAATGCATTTCTTCCTGGAAGAGTGGTAAAAGTTTTTTTAACTATGAAAAAAGTGTTGCAGGAATAATGAGACTCAGACCTCGGAATCAAAAAGAGTTGTATTTATTTGCGCAAAAGGTTCAGAGCAATATAGCCGTAGCAACATCTGAAGCCCCTCTTATGGAAAAACAAGCACTTATATACTTTTCAAAAGTGGCAAAACACGGAAATATAGCCTATCAGCATTGATTGGTTATATTATTTATAGCCCCCTGTTGCTCTGTTAAAGAAGCTAAATATCTTGCTCCCCCTTCATACAGAATGAGGTCGCAGGTGTCTTGCAGGAAGTACCTAAGTTTCCAGCAGTTTGTTAGTGGATAGTAGCCCCAGCTAATCTCTAAAGCCAAAACAGGGTCTTCAAAATTCAAGATTGAGAGAAAGTTCTTCATATCAGATATGGACGAATAGAATCAAGTGCATCCTGAGTGGATTTTTATGGGGAATTCAGATGAAACCCTTCCCCTTTATGGACAAGAAAAACAAAAGTACACATATCGACTGGGTGCAATCAGGCTTAATAGCAGTAACTGTGAGAGGGATCTTGGAGTCTTAGTGGACAAGCAGTTAAACATGAGGCAGCAGTGTGCAGCGGCAGCCTAAAAAGCCAATGCAATCCTAAATTGCATTAACAGAGGGATACAATCAAGATGAAGTACGGTACTAATACCACTCAAAAAAACCTTAGGACCAGGGGTGAAATCCAGCAGGTTCTGACAGGTTCTGGAGAACTGGTAGCGGAAATTTTGAGCAGTTCAGAGAATCGGCAGTGGAAATTTTGAGCAGATCGGAGAACCGGCAAATACCACCTCTGGCTGCCCTCAGAGTGGAGTGGGAATGGAGATTTTGCAATATCCTTCCCCTGGAGTGGGGTGGGAATGGAGATTTTGCAGTATCCTTCCCCCGGGAGTGGGGAGGGAATGGGGATTTTGCAGGATCCTTCCCCCAGGAGTGGGGAGGGAATGGGGATTTTGCAGGATCCTTCCTCCAGGAGTGGGGTGGGAATGGAGATTTTGCAGTATCCTTCCTCTGCCACGTCCACCAAGCCACACCACGCCCACCAAGCTACACGCACAGAACCAGTAGTAAAAAAAATTTGGATTTCACCACTGGTCCAATGTATACTTTGTCCTCGTCCTTAGCTCACTATAGGAAAGCAAAATATGGCCCTAAAGCTTGAAAAATCTTTTTGATCCTGCATTTCAGGGGCTTTGGGTCATTTTGCCTCCTTTTGTGAGAGAGGAAATTTTCATCCTGAAGCTCTTTCCATACACTATCTGTGACCGGATTGAGACTTCGCTCTTGAAAGATATATTTTATGTTTATATTGGAAAAAAAATAAAATAAATACTTTCCAAATAAATTCTAACATCTGAACAAAGACCTTGTTTAAGACATGCATCTTTATACTTTTCAGTTAGTAACAAAACAGGAAATGTGAAATCTGCCTCTTTAGCTAGCCCCCTTATTCCTTAGGCAGGAAAGCTCCATGTGGTTTAGTTCTGCATTTTAACATGGTACCTCTGCGGTTTGACTTCTTGAACTCTCCAACTGTAGAAAGTGTGTTAACTCTGCGGTTTAACTTTGTGAACCCAGCAACTGTCTTTTATAATAATTAGTCAAGGGGCCCTTCAGAGATCATCCAGGCTGACCCCGTATTATTTCACTCTTATATCCAAATTTCACTTTACGTTCTATTTTAGTATCATAGCTCTGAAGTAAAAAATTAGGCAAATTTCTCCTCATCCTAAACCCCCTTGCACAGGGAAAAAGACTCTAAGGCTGGGATGTTAGATAACCAGCAGCAAGCTGGAGGGACACGCTAACTATCATGGTGACAAGCGCACTATTGGCATTGCTAAAGGAACAGTTGAGGCACAGATCCTCCGGAAGGAAATCTGTCTATCTGCTTACAAAACGTTGACACTGACATGATAGCAGATACATAGTAGACCATAAACAAGATTCCTTTGATGGCTATCCCATTATTTTTGTCATGCTTTCCCATATGTATTCTACATGACATGCCATACCATCACATCCATGTTGATGACTCATGACCTCTTGGATGCTTGGCAAGATAGCCATCTTCTCCTACCAACATCTTCTCTTACGAAACCTACTTGCTTTATGTACTCCATGTGCGAATATGGCTCAGAACAGACACAAAGGTACGGATATTTCCACAATGCTAGCAAGTATCACTAAGCCACTTTTCAGTCAATGCGTTCAAACTGGACTCTTAAAAACCCTCAACTATGTCCCCTGCAAAAATAAGCACATTTGTAATTTGTAATGTGTCCCAACATCGTTCACTAAATGACAGGAAAAAATTCATACAAATTGTATTTTATTAATGTAAGGTTACAGGTAAATTGATGTGATGTCTCGCTGCCTGGAGGCCGTGCTCAACCCCTCCAAGACCGAGTGGCTGTGGTTCCCGGCGTCGCGATATAGTCAGCTGGTGCCATCGCTGACTATTGGGGGTGAGTCTTTACCCCCCACAAAGAGGGCCCGCAATCTGGGCATCCTCCTGAATGCATGGCTGTCTTTAGAAGAACATATGACGGCCGTGGCCAGGGGGGCTTTTTATCAGGTTCGCCTGATCCGCCAGTTGCGGCCCTTTCTGGACCGCGACGCCTTGCGCACAGTCACTCACGCCCTTGTCACCTCCTGACTGGACTACTGCAGTGCTCTCTACATGGGGCTCCCCTTGAAAAGCACCCGGAGGCTCCAACTGGTCCAGAATGCGGCCGCGCGGGTGGTTATGGGCGCAACTTGTTGTGCCCACATGACACCCCTCCTGTGCGAGCTGCACTGGCTCCCAGTGGTCTTCCGGGTGTGATTCAAGGTGTTGGTTACCACCTTTAAAGCGCTCCATGGCATTGGACCTGGATACCTTCGAGACCATCTTCTGTCACCAGTAGCCTCCCACCGGCCAGTTCGCTCCCACAGAGAGGGTCTCCTCAGGGTGCCATCGGCCAAATTATGTCGGCTGGTGACACCCAGGGGGAGGGCCTTCTCTGTGGGAGCCCCTATCCTTTGGAATGAACTGCCCACAGAAATTCGTAAAGTCTCTGATCTCTGTGTGTTTCGCTGTGCCCTCAAAACCATGTTGTTCCGCCAGGCTGGGCTATCAATGTAAAGATTTTAATTGGTTTTAAATGGGATTTTAAATTTGGGGTTTTATAAATTGGGCCTATTATTTAATAATTTTAATAATTTTTAAATTTTGTCTGTCTCTGTGTATTTAATTAGGCTGTACACCGCCCTGAGTCCTTCGGGAGAAGGGCGGTATAGAAATAAAATTAATAAATAAATAAATTAATAAATAAATGTAATACAATCTGTCTTAGCTTTTGCAAGCCCCTTGTCACTTTTCACAGGACCAAAAATTTATAAGCCTCCTCACCACTGTGGCTCCTTTGGCGAAAAGGAAACTCTGGCTCTGAAGCTCTTGTCATGCTATATACATTTACATGGATTTTTTGGGGGGTGGGGGAAGATTCTGTGGCATAAAGACACTTTTGACTGACAAATACTTCCTCGTTCCTATTGCCCGTCTCATATCCCTATTTTATGCAGTAGAAACAAGTCTTGAGTTCAGTTATTTTCGTGTCCAAGAAGCAGTAACTGTTTTGCGATTTGGAACACACTCAGATCTAGCAGATGTCCCCCACGCATTCCTGGAGTGCTTATCCTACCTCTATTTCTGGCCTCACAGTTTCCAAAGTCCATTTACTGATACTTCAGCATCAGTGGTGGATTGCTCTTGGTTCTGTCCGGTTCTTGAGAACCTGATTTATGCCTTGTCCCATAATAGGCCTGGAATGACATTTTGTTAGCTAAGCCATGTCTTGCTCTCAAAAATTAAACATTTATAGAACTTTTGGGGGGGGATTTGGGCCTTCTCTATCATGATCAGATGGAAAATGGGATAAACATGAAGAAAAAAAAATATTTTCTCCTATTCATGTGAAATAGCATTGAAGACCTTCAAATGACAGTAAAAATCCACTTTTCATAATTAAAACACGTGCCCATTATTTGGTTTCAATTTACCAATTGAAGCTCTCTGGGGCTGCCACTTGTGAAGATCAGATTTAAAAAAAAACTTTTCCTAATTCAGCATTATGTAAATGAAAAAGTTGTTAGTTGTTCCCGTTTCAAAGCCGAAGAGCCATAACAATGTCTCCATTGTTATGGAAGAAGGAATTAAAGAGACATCCCTTCAGAGCAGACAAGAATCAGTTATTTATTATTGCAATAAGGATCAGATTGGTATTGTGACCACAAGATCTGAACAAAGTATAAAATGGAGACCTCAGTCTTTATACATTTTCAAACAAAGGATTCTGTTAACTCAGCAATTCATATGGTCATATACATTTGTCATTTTTAATTGACACTTCCTAATTACTGTTTCATTTTATTCTCTGCCAACATTAATAATTCTTTATGTAGATTACTGAAGCATAGATTCAAATTATCTCTTGTTGATACAACAATATGGTCATCCTTGTCTCTCTGACCTTCAAAGTGTAAATCACCAAAATGTCTTTATCTGTGACAACTGAGGGGCAACTGAGGGGCCTCTCCTCACTGGTTCTACATCAAAGAAGGAATGTGTCTGCCTTTTATTTCAACTGGATACATTTGCAAGCACAATTTCTCTTCTACAATACTATGAACAAAGAGGGCCCTTCAGTGATCATCTAGCTGGACCCGCTTTTCCTACTGTACCATGGTCATGTGGCCGGAATGACTCAATGCCAAAGGCGCACAGAACGCTGTTACCTTCCCACCAAAGGTGGTCCCTATTTTTCTACTTGCATTTTTTACGTGCTTTCGAACCGCTAGGTTGGTAGAAGCTGGGACAAGTAACGGGCGCTCATATGTGTAAATAGAAAATGCTTAAATTTCAACAACTAAATCTACAATTTATATGGATTCATATTCAACTGGATCTATCGGTGGGTTGCTACCAGTTTGCCCCGGATCAGGCGAACCGGTAGCAGCAGCAGGAGGCTCTGCCCCCATGTTTCACAGATTTATATGGCTTCTCCCGTGTGGATCTTGTTATGGGAATTAAGACAAGAGCCCTGAGAAAAGGACTTTCCACATTCCATGCATTTAAAAGGCTTCTCCCCCATATGGATTCTACTATGATAAATAAGTTCACAGTTTTTAGTAAAGCTCTTTCCACTCTCCATGCATTTGTGTGGCTTCTCCCCTGTATGGACACTACTATGGTAAATAAGTTGACGGTTCTTAGTAAAGCTCTTTCCACACTCCATGCATTTGTGTGGCTTCTCTCCTGCGTGGATCATTTTATGGAAAACAAGGTCACTGTTCCTAGGGAAGCTCTTTCCACATTCCATACATTTATAGGGCCTCTCTCCTGTGTGGATCCTTTTATGAAAATTAAGAGAAGAACTTTGAGAGAAGCTCTTTCCACACTCTGTACACTTATATTTTTTTTGACTGGTCCTCGCACTTACGACTGTCCTCACATTTTACGTTTTTGCCCTATCTCGTCACCATGGTGAAGAGAAGCAGTTGTGAAATGAGTGACACAGTTGTTAAGAATGCTACAATGGGCATAAATGATGACCAGTCATAAGTGCGAAGACCGGTCAAAAGTGTGAGGACCTGTCAAAAATCATTTTTTTCAGCCCTCTGGGTAGTCCTTTTGTGCACATGGACTACTCAGAGGGCTGAAAAAGTTATTTTTGACTGGTCCTCGCACTTTTGACCAGTCCTCGAACTTACAACTGTCCTCACATTTTACGTTTTTGCCCTATCTTGTCACCATGGTGAAGAGAAGCAGTTGTGAAATGAGTGACATGGTTGTTATGAATGCTGCACCTGCATAAATGTGAGGATGGTCGTAAGTGTGAGGACCAGTCAAAAGTGCGAGAACCTGTCAGAAATGTCTTTTTTCAGCCCTCTGAGTAGTCCCTATACACATAGCTATGGCCACCCGGTCACATGACCAGGTAGCCATGCCCACCCAGTCACATGACCTCCAAGCCACGCCCACAAAATAAGCCACTCCCACAGAACTGGTAGTAAAAAATTACAGTTATGAAGTAGCAACGAAAATAATTTTATGGTTGGGGGTCACCACAACATGAGGAACTGTATTAAAGGGTCGCGACATTAGGAAGGTTGAGAACCACTGCTCTACAGGCAAAAGGGGAAATGCAAATCCTAGGTCAGCGATGGCTAACCTTTTTGCCATCGCGTGCCAAAAGTGGGGGATTGTGGGACAGTCATGTGCGTGCGTGCCCACACCGATAATTTTATACACCCTGCTCCCCTGCGCATGTGCATGACCCCCCCCCATGTTCCCCCCGCTTTTAGCATGTGATGGCACGGTGGACCCGGTAGGCCTGTTTTTTTGCCCTCCCCAGGCTCCAGAGACTTTTTAGGAGCCTGGGGAGGGCGAAAACAGCCTTCCCCACCATCCCCGGAGGCCAGAAACAGCCCCTTTGCTGGCTTCCGGTGGGCCCAGAAGGCCCAAAAATCAGCTGACCAGAGCGTGCATGCGTGCTGGAGCTGAGCTAGGGCAACGCTCGCGTGCCCACCAATATGGCTCCGTGTGCCACCTGTGGCACGCGTGCCATACGTTCGCCGTCACGGTCCTAGGTGTTTATCTGAGTTAATCTTGTCAAGTTTTGGCTTGCCTAATTGTGTTGCTTATCTGGGGTCCCTGTTTGCTCTTTGCTTATGAATAGATTGGCATACTTAACAATCATCAGTGTCAGCTTGGGAAAGTAGGAGGGGAGATTTTCAGAGAGGGATTGGTTTTAGACAAAATACCATTCTTCCTTTCGGTCAAGGTCAGGACGATCCTGCATCTGGAGAAGGAGTGGTTGGAGTGCTGTCTCGAGATGGGATGAATACTGATTGGAGCATGTGATCGACTGATGATTAAGGGGATGGTTTGGGGGGTTTTGAATTACTGAGGGAAAACCCGGAACTCTCAGATTCCGGTTTTCCCAGATGTGCCAGTATACCTACTCTAATTAATGTAGGTAGGTAAATGCGGGTCCTGCTGGATGATCACTGAAGGGCCCCCTTTATTCATAGTATCGTAGGAAAGGAAATGTGCTTGTTTGAGGGAAGCCAATTATCTCCAGTTGAAAGGAGAGAATTCCTTTGAAGTAGAAACATTCAGAAGAAGGGGCCCCTCAGTTGTCAGGGATAAGAGACATTTGGTGATATACAGTATGAAGGTTAAAGAGATCAAGTATGACCACATGTAATATTAACAAGAGATAATTTGAATCTATGCTTCAGTAATTGGCAAAAAGACTTATGACTGTTGGCAAAGAATAAAATGAAACGGTAATTGGGAAGTGTCAATTAAATATGACAAATGTATACGATCACATAAACTGCTGAGTTAACAGAATCCTTTGTCTAGAAGGGTATAAAAACCATGGTACCTAATTTCTGTCTTTGTTCAACGCTTCATGTACAGAGCTTTGAACCTATTGCGCAATATACATTGTCTCTGATTAACCCCGAAAAGTTGTGTTGGTCTTATTAAATCCACAACATAATAAATGGAACTTTGGGAAAATGCTTGCCTCAGAGTTTTTAATTGGAGAGGGGGTGTTGACAATCAGCACATTTACTCTCTATTTCCAGTAACATAGCAGCCCCCCCTCCCTTCTAAATTCCCTTTTTCTCATGCATTACTTTATCGATTCAAGCCAAAATATTTATACTTCAGCATAATCATCCAGCTCTAAATGTATTTTAAGCACATCTCTTTCCCAGGTTTCCTGTTCGCATCATTGCCTTGTCCTATGTCTTCATTTGGGGTTCCATTTTTAGCCAGCATTAATGGTGATTTATCAAGCAACATTGTTTCCATTTGTCTTTATGCAAAAATTCTTAGCTAATTTCAATGCAGCAATAGGTGTACCAAGGGCCAGAAAAGGCTAAATTTAAGAGAGTCTTAGAATATATTGATCAGCTAGGACCTCTGTGTGTGTGTGAGAGAGAGTGAGAGACTGAAATATAGACTTTATTAGCATTTCCCCCAATAATTTTATTTATTTATTTATTTAATTTGTATACTGCCCTTCTCCCAGAAGGCACTCAGGGCGGTGAACAGCCAAAATTAAAAAACATACAAATTGAAGGTTATAGTGTACAAATAAAACTAATACAACTACATAATGCGGAAATACTTTCTTCAAAGTCTTAGCTAATTTCAATGCAGCAATAGGTGTACCAAGGGCCAGAAAAGGCTAAAGTTAAGAGTGTTTTATTTATGTATTTATTTAATTCGATTTTTATACCGCCCTTCTCCTACTGGACTCAGGGCGGTGAACAGCCAAGTAAAAACATCACATACAAAATTTAAAAATATTTAAAAGAAATTAAACAAGAATTGGCAAAAATAAAATTTAAAAACACCCCTATTAAAACCAAATTACAATTAAAAATATCTAAAAATATCTAAGGGGGGGTCAAGGCAGCCCGGCATGATGAAATAAAAAAGTTTTAAGGGCACGGCGAAAAGCCCAGAGATCGGGGATCCTACGTATCTCCGGGGCAGGTCGTTCCAGAGGGCAGGTGCTGCTACAGAGAAGGCCCTCCCCCTGGGAGTCGCCAGCCGACATTGTCTGGCCGACGGCACCCTGAGGAGGCCCTCTCTGTGGGAGCGTACTGGCCGGTGGGAGGCTATCGGTGGCAGAAGGCGGTCCCGTAAGTTAGAATATATTGATCAGCTAGGACCTCTGTGTGTGTGTGAGAGAGAGAGAGAGAGAGAGTGAGAGACTGAAATATAGACTTTATTAGCATTTCCCCCAATACTTTTATTGAAGGTTATAGTGTACAAATAAAACTAATACAACTACATAATGCAGAAATACTTTCTTCAAAGTTAAAAAAAGTGGAGAAAATAATGGACAAATAAAGGTCCCCCTTCACCCCAAGAATTATATATAAAAAGTTTAAATGTAAAATGTTTTAATTAATCTATTCATTAGATAACCTCCTGAGCATAAAATTTATATCGACAATTCGTATTTAGCTATAATTTCTCCAAGTCTTTCCTGATTTACCGTATTTTCCGGTGTATAAGACGACTGGGCATATAAGACGACCCTCAACTTTTCCTGTTAAAATATAGGGTTTGGGCTATACTTGCCATATAAGACTGCCCCTCTTCCAATGCACACCAAATAAAAATTAAAAAAACATCAACTGGCTCACCTACAATGTAAAAGCAGCTGTGCTAGACCCAAAATGGCCCCTGTAACAAGCAGGAACCTCACACAGCCACAAAAAGCCCCCCCCAAAAAACTTTCACACTCTAAACGCACACAACACAACACAACTGGCTCACCCACAATGTAAAAGCAGCTGTGCTAGACCCAAAATGGCCCCTGCAACAAGCAGGAACCTCACACAGCCACAAAAAGTCCAAAAAACCAACTTTCACACTTTACACACACAAAATTCCACATACAGCTTTGTGAGATTTTGTGTGTTTGTGTAGTTGGAGTGAAACACTACAGAAACACACTAAATCTCAGAAAGCTGCACAAATATTATTTTATTTTATTTTATTTTAATTTTTATATGAAAGCTAAATTTAAAACTTCCTAAACGGCTTCCTAAATGGCTAGGTCTAAAAAAGAACAATTAAAAAAACCCCAATTGACTTTTTTTTTAAAGATCCCAAAGGGGAAAAAAACTTACCCGATAGAACAGGGGTCTCCAACCTTGGCAACTTTAAGACTTGTAGACTTCAACTCCCAGAATTCCTCAGCCAGCTTTGCTTTGCTGGCTGAGGAATTCTGGGAGTTGAAGTCCACAACTAACTCCTTGCTTGATTGCAGGCAGGGAGTTGCTTGCTTGCCTGAATAGATTCAAGCAAGCAAAGCAAGGCAAGCGTTGCAACTAGCAGCTGAGGTAAGCAAGCTGGAGGGGGAAAACTTTTTCCCTTTTACATGGCTCTGGCCATCCCAGCTGAGTTGCAGGGAACTCAGCTGGGATCATCAGAGCTGGGATCCTCAGAGTAAAAGGGAAAAAACTTTTTCCCTTTTACGTGGTTTCTGGCGATCCCAACTGAGTTGCAGGGAACTCAGCTGGGATCGTCAGAGCTGGGATCCTCAGAGTAAAAGGGAGAAAACTTTTTTCCTTTTACGTGGTTTCTGGCGATCCCAGCTGAGTTGCAGGGAACTCAGCTGGGATCGTCAGAGCTGGGATCCTCAGAGTAAAAGGTAAAAAACTTTTTCCCTTTTACGTGGTTTCTGGCGATCCCAGCTGAGTTGCAGGGAACTCAGCTGGGATCGCCAGAGCTGGGATCGCCAGAGCCATTTAAGGCTCGTCAGAGCCTTTCAGGCTGGTCTGCCTGGTTACAGGAGAACTACACCCGGCGTATAAGACGACCCCCGACTTTTGAGAAGATTTTCATGTGTTAAAAAGTCGTCTTATACGCCGGAAAATACGGTATGCCTTGTCCCATGCCTGGAATGACATTTTGTTAGTTAACCCATGTCTTGTTCTCAAAAATTAAACATTTATAGCACTTTTGGGGGGATTTCGGCCTTCTCTATCATGATCAGATGGAAAATGGGATAAACATGAAGAAAAAAATATTTTCTCCTATTCATGTGAAATAGCATTGAAGACCTTCAAATGACAGTAAAAATCCACTTTTCAAAATTAAAACACGGACCTATTATTTGGTTTCAATTGGTAAATTCAGTTCTCTGGAGCTGCCACTTATGAAGATCAGATTTTTTAAAAAAACTTTTCCTAATTCAGCATTATGTAAATAAAAAGGTAAAGGTAAAGGTTCCCCTTGCACATATGTGCTAGTCGTTCCCGTTCATCTCCGTTTCAAAGCCGAAGAGCCAGCGTTGTCCAAAGACGTCTCCATGGTCATGTGGCCGGCATGACTCTATGCCAAAGGTGCACAGAACGCTGTTACTTTCCCACCAAAGGTGGTCCCTATTTTTCTACTTGCATTTTTTACGTGCTTTCGAACTGCTAGGTTGGCAGAAGCTGGGACAAGTAACGGGCGCTCATATGTGTAAATAGAAAATGCTTAAATTTCAACAACTAAATCTACAATTTATATGGATTCATATTCAACTGGATCTATTGGTGGGTTGCTACCAGTTTGGCCTGGATCAGGCGAACCGGTAGTAGCGGCAGGAGGCTCTGCCCCCATGTTTCACAGATTTATATGGCTTCTCCCGTGTGGATCTTGTTATGGGAATTAAGACAAGAACCCTGAGAAAAGGACTTTCCACATTCCATGCATTTAAAAGGCTTCTCCCCCGTATGGATTCTACTATGGCAAACGAGTAGAGTGTTTGTAGTAAAGCTCTTTCCACTCTCCATGCATTTATAGGGCTTCTCCCCTGTATGGACCCTATTATGGTAAATAAGTTGACTGCTCTTAGTAAAGCTCTTTCCACACTCCATGCATTTGTGTGGCTTCTCCCCTGTATGGATACTACTATGGTAAATAAGTAGAGTGTTCGTAGTAAAGCTCTTTCCACACTCCATGCATTTGTGTGGCTTCTCTCCTGTATGGATCATTTTATGGAAAACAAGGTCACTGCTCCTAGGGAAGCTCTTTCCACATTCCATACATTTATAGGGCGTCTCTCCTGTGTGGATCCTTTTATGAACAGTAAGAGAAGAATTTTCACAGAAGCTCTTTCCACACTCTGTGCACTTATACGGCTTCTCCCCTGTATTAATGTAGATGAAGCGGGATCTGATAGATGACCACTGGATAACTTTCTATTCACTCTATTCTAAAAGTAGGAAATGCATCCGGTTGGAAAAAGTACAAAGTCAGCCAAAATCCTTTTGATACCTTTAGGAGGCCTCTAAGTTGTCAGAAGATAGGAACATTCTAATGACATACAGCTTAAAGGTTGGTAAGGTCAAGGGTATCCACATGAGCTACAAGTCATTTATCAACAGAAGATAATTTGAATCTATGCTCCAGTAATTTACAGAAGAATTATGATTGTTTGGCAAGGATAATGTAAAACTTTAGTAATTAGGAAATGTCAAGTAAATATAACGAATGTATATGACCATATAAACTGCTGAGTTAACAGAATCCTTTGTCTTAGAAATGTATAAAACCAGTTGTATCAGAATTCTCTCCTTGTTCAAAGCTTCATGTACAAAACTGGCTCTGAACCTTGCGCAATAAAACTGTCTCTGGCTGACCTAGGAATGTTGCTTTGTCTTCATCATTACACAACAGCATGGATCCAGTCATGGGAAGCAAGAGAATTACGATGAGAGAAGCTCATTCCACACTCCATGCATTTATAGGGCTTCTCTCCTGTGTGGATCCTTTTATGAATATTAAGAGAAGAACTTTGAGAGAAGCTCCTTCCACACTCTGTGCACTTATATGGCTTCTCCCCTGTATGGACCCTACTATGGGAAATAAGTTGACTGTTCGTAGTAAAGCTCTTTCCACACTCTGTGCATTTATAGGGTGTCTCCCCTGTATGGATACTACTATGGTAAATAAGTAGAATGTTCCTAGTAAAGCTCTTTCCACACTCCATGCATTTATAGGGCTTCTCCCCTGTATGGACCCTACTATGGTAAATAAGTTGACTGTTCTTAGTAAAGCTCTTTCCACACTCTATGCATTTGTGTGGCCTCTCCCCCGTGTGGATCTTTTTATGGGAAACAAGTTCACTGCTCTTAGGGAAGCTCTTTCCACATTCTGTGCATTTATAGGGCCTCTCTCCTGTGTGGATCCTTTTATGAACAGTAAGAGAAGAATTTTCACAGAAGCTCTTTCCACACTCTGTGCACTTATACGGCTTCTCCCCTGTATGGATCCAGTAATGGGAAGAAAGAGAATTACCATGAGAGAAGCTCTTTCCACACTCCATGCATTTATAGGGCTTCTCTCCTGTGTGGGTCCTAGTATGGTAAATAAGGTGAGTGTTCGTAGTAAAGCTCTTTCCACACTCCACGCATTTATAGGGCTTCTCTCCTGTGTGGATCATTTCATGTGACTTAAGGTTAGACATCTGAGTAAAGATCTTCCCACACTCCATGCATTTATAAGGACTTTCCCCTGTGTGGATCGTTTTATGGAGAGTAAGTTTTCTCTCTCTGCTGAAGCTCTCTTCACAGTCCGTACATTTGTAAGGCTTGTCCCGTTTGTGGATCCTTTTATGTGAACTAAGTTGTCTGCTGTGAATAAAACTCTTTCCACATTCCATGCATTGACAGGGCTTCTCTCCTGTGTGGATCCTTTTATGATTTGTAAGTAGATTGTTCTTGATAAAGGTTTTCCCGCACTCCATGCATTTATATATCTTCTCCTCCGCGTAGGTCCTTTTTTGAGAAGTACCAGACCCATTTTCATGAGGAAAAAAGAAAGTCTGTTTGTCATTTTTTCCATTGTCTCTGCATATATAATCTTCTCCTTTGGTTTTGGCTTGATCGTGTTTATCTACATCTAATTTGTCTCTGAATAGTTTCATGTTATTCCCAATAGATTTTTTATTTGTTTTTCCTTGTTGGGCAACAAAATCTTGCATTGGAGCATAAAGAGACGGTGAGCTTTCCTGATTCCAATTATTTGACTGATTTCTCTCACAGCTTTCTACTTCCATTTGAATTTTAGGGTTCTCCATACTATCTCCAGAAGTAATTGTTCGGAATAGTTCCCCAGAACCTTCATCTTCTTCCCCATTATTACCTTCACAGGAAAAGAAAAAAAAAATGAAAATAATAGCAAGATTAGGGGGAAAGTGCAATCTGCAGGAAGCTGGAATATAATGCAAAACAAACTACATCAATCTTCTTAGACGCAGAGATGGCCTTTGAAAATTTGACTTGGACTTAGAAGAGCGTGACCTAAGATTTGGATGGCATCGATATTTGTGGTACAATGAACTCTAGAAAGAGTGCAGAGAAGAGCAACCAAAATGATTAGGGGCCTGGAGGCTAAAGCATAAAGAACAGTTCCTGGAACTGGGTATGTCTACTCTGATTAAAAGAAGGACCGGGGTGACATGATAGCAGTGTTCCAATATCTCAGGGGCTGCCAGAAAGAAGAGGGAGTCAAGCTATTCTCCAAAGCACCTGAGGGATGGACAAGAAGCAATGGGGGGAAACTAATAAAGGAGAGAAGCAACCTAGAACTAAGGAGAAATTTCCTGGCAGTGAGAACAATTAATCAGTGGAACAACTTTCCTTCAGAAGCTGTGAATGCTCCAACACTGGAAATTTTAAAGAAGAGATTGGATAAACGTTTATCTGAAATGGTATAGGGTATCCTGCCTGAGCAGGGGGTTGGACTAGAAGACCTCCAAGGTCCCTTCCAACTCTGTTATTCTAAGTTAGGATTAATCTATATTTTAAAAACCAGTATGTTAGAAGTGCCAACTGAGAACATGAAACAGATATAAATCCAGACTGTGCTCCAAAATAACTTCATGGCTCTCGGCACAAGGAGCATCTTACAGAAGAGAAGCAGAAGGCAAAGACAATGGATAACATGTTCGGAGCCATCAGAACTTCACCAAGGCAATAGCAAATGAAATCAAGAGCATCTGATGGCAGAAGGGTATAGTTGTCCCACAATATGGTTTTCATATTGTTATCGGACAGATTCAAGGTGGGGAAAATGGACCTATGTTATTCAACAACATAAAACAGAATTTGAATCTTAATGACAGAAAAAATAAACATGTAATACCTAAAAGCTACAAATAGGTTTAAAATGTATGATACAACGAGCAAAGACGTTGTATCATAATATATAGATGTAACAGCGGGAAAATATGTGATTGTTAGCACTGAAATGTACATGATGTTATAATCTAAAGGGCAACTTTTATAAAGTGACTAGCTGAATGGCCATGCTCCGCTACTAAACTATGTGATCGGGCTTGATAAATCGACACTTAGAGTTTGAAAATTAGTGAGTAGTTATGATTGGCCTCTCCTCTCCACTTCTCTCCCTCAGGCTTGCCCCACAGAAGCCTGTCCTCTCTATCCCCTTCTCTCCCTCAAGCTTGCCCCATAGATCCTCTCCTCTCCCCTTCTCTCCCTCAGGATGGCCCCATAGATCCTCTCTTATCCTACTCCCTTCTCTCCCTCAGGCTGGCCCTATAGATCCTCTCCTATCCCCTTCTTTATGAAACGGGGAGATGGTCATTTTGAAAAATCCTTTCTTAGTGAGCACCTAGAAGCCAAGAGGAACATACATGGCAAATTTCAAGTTTGTAGGCTTTATGGTTCTGGAGATTTTGTGATTAATGCATGAGTGGTTTTCACTTTTATACATACAGATATACCATTGGTATAGGATACCAGAAAAATGTTCTAAAATGTATAAAGGTAACTCAAACTTATACTGGAAATGTGGACAAGCAGAAGGCTCGTTTTGGATTGAAAGACATTCAATGATACAGAGAACTTTCAAGATCAACATCCAACTGAAATCAGAACACTTTATGTTGGGACTAAGGAACAGGAAGCTGGAAAACAGTCATGAGATAGTTTCTGAGTGTGATAATCACAGTGAGACTGTTTTTACCACCAAAGTTGGAGGGTATACAATACATTCTACAATAATGGTAGAATGGTTGGCGAAAATGACAGAATTCTCAAAGATGACGAAATTGACTTCTGTGATTAGAGAAAGGCTAATATCTGTATTGATTAGTGATTGGAAAACCCCTGAAGGACTTTTTGCTGAAAAAAGAAAAAAAAAGTGAAGTTGTTTGAAGATTAGAAAGGATAAATTACGTGAAGGAGAAAACTATGATCTAACCTTAGAGAGGCTAAGTTATAACTTTTTTTATTACTTCATCTTTCCCCCCCCCCTTTCCTTTTTTAATTTCATTATTTTTTTTCTTGTTAATGCATCACTTACACTGTCTTATTTCTTTTTCAGAATTTTTATTGCTTTTATTCCAACAAAATACCTTTAATAAACTTATAACAAAAAGAAAAAAGAAATAGCTCGTTTCATCTCATTTAAAACTGTCTTCCCAAATTTTGTGAGTGGACCGTAGCAAACTCTTACCTAGAGAGGCCAGGTTTCTATGATTTTCCAGCATGACTTCCCAATGCAGTGCTTTTTGGTCTGGATCCAGCTGTGACCACTCCTCCTTGGAGAAATACACAGTCACCTCCTCCAATGATACAAGACCCTCCTGAACAAAGAAAAACAACACTATAAAACCAGGAGGATTTACAAGATCTATCCTATTGTTTAAATTATCCCAAGCACTTTCAGTGCCATTCGGTAAAAGGAATCCCAACTTTCTACTGGATCCCTGTCTGTCTGTCTATCCAGCTACCTACAAACTATCCATCCATCCATCCAGATTTTCAGCATCTGAAGAGAATCAACCGGCAGATGGGCCTCAGAAACCTATCAGTGACTTCAACCCGTCCTGTGTTTGAAGAAGAAAATGGGGGAGGAGTATTCTTTTTAGCATTTAAGTAAAAGTCTTGCGGTGTCCCCAGAAGAAAGAGTCTTCTTCATTATCGATCAAAGTGCTGCGAGAGTTTAAGTTTGTATGGCAAGGTAAGAAACCAAGGATAAAATTGAAAATAATGCAGGATATGCGAGAAAGAGGGGGGCTGAAAATGCCCAATTTAAAATTATATTATGAAGCAGCTGTCTTATCAGCAATTAGTGATTGGATTAACTGAACAAATGGAAGGATTCTGAACATTGAAGGACATGATTTGGTTTACGGTTAGCATGCTTACTTAGTGTTGTAGGAAGTTAGCACCCACCCCTTTCCTGGAAGAGTGAAATATTTTAGGAAATATGAAAAAGGCAGAATATTATATTTCCCTGGATGAGAAATGGAGAAGCATATTTTACAGACAAAGCAGCTCCCACCTTCCTGCCCCCCACCCTTTGTCAATGAGCCATTAAGGCCTGGGCCAGTCTATTCTACATAACAAAGATCTACCTCCTTCAGGCAGAGCCATAGTAGGAATTGCCAAAGATCCAACAAAGATAGGATTAGCCCTCTACACAATAGCAGCAGAAACTCACCACATGTGACCTGGGAAGCACATGTGACCATCAGCCAGCAAGGCCCCCACCCCCTGGGAGTCTGACAACCAATCAGGATACTCTTTCAGGGCCCCAAGAAATGCAGAGCCAGAGAGAGCATAAAAACCCGAGGATTTACTGTATCTGCCCCCTTTTCTGTTCAGAAACTCAAGCCATGTGATCCTGTCCACCATTAAACCATCTTTCCAAGCAGTCTCCATGTTTCCAGTGTCTGTTTCCCCACTTGGAGCAGAACCTAGAAGGATGTTTCTTCCAACAGTGTATGATAAAAAGGTGGATAGAGCATTTAAGAGCCATATATTGAGGAATGCTTTACTGCGTGTCTGGAAGAAATATCAATATAAATTAAATGAAAAGATACCTATATGGATAGTACCCAGGCACGCAACAGAGAACACGAGTATAGAAAGCAGACAGGATGTAATTACATATACAGATATTCTTAATATGGAGGGAGGTATATTAAAATTAAAACCTTTGAATGTGTTGAAAGAGGAGAAAATAATTCAAACTTGGTTTCAGTATGTACAACTTCAAGCCAGATGGAGAAAAGATCAGAAAATTGGTATTATACAAAGCGATGAAAATTTAATAAAACAAACTAGAGACCAAAGTTCAATGCATATAAAAAGATTGTATAATATATTGATAGAGATAGACTCGGAAACAGAGCTAGTTAAAGATTGTATGATAAAATGGGCACAGAATTTTGAACAACCAATAATGATGGAAACATGGGGAAAAAATATGGGTAAGAAATGTGAAATTTACACAAGCGCAAAACTTAAGGGAGAATTTTTATAAAATGTTTTATAGATGGCATCTAGATCCAAAAAAACTATCTTGTATGTACCCGAATGTACAACCAAAATGTTGGAGATGTGATTGTGAGGATGCTACATACTTCCATATTTGGTGGACATGTAAAAAGGTTAAAGCGTTCTGGATAAAAATTTGGTGGATTTTACAAAACATTCTTAAAAAGAGGTTAAAATTTACACCACAGTTGTTTCTGCTGGGTATAGTTACGGATTGTACGGTTATAGAGGCTAATTTGATTTTGAATTTAATAACTGCAGCAAGATTGTTAGTGGCACAATATTGGAAGACGCAAGATCTACCTACAATCCAAGGACGGACAATGAAAGTAACAAACCTAGCAGAGACAGCAAAAATCTCGGCGTACTTGAAGGAACATTCAAATGAAAGATACTTAAGGGACTGGAGAAGATGGATAGATTATATCCAAAGCAAACACCGGAATAAGAAGTTGCAGATAGGTTATAAATAAATATGTAGATATTTGGTGTGTTTTTAGGTAATTAAGTTAGCAGGGTAATTAGGGAATTGAAGGAATAAGAGATGCTGAATGTTATAATTATTTAGATTAGGATGGATCATGATTGTTGAATGTTATACCCTGTAATTTGTTCTGGGAAGAGGAGGGGGGGAGGTGGGTGGATGGGAAGGGGAAGGGTTGGGGGGAGGGATGGTGGGGGTAAGGGAGGGGAGGGGGTGGGGGTGGTAGGGAAGAGGGGGAATATGTAAACCTTCTGTAAAACTTTTTAATAATAAAAAAAAAAGTGCTGCAAGAGGCAGCCAGGGATTTAAATCAGGTGCCATCAATATCCAGAGACACATTGCTAACAGTATAAACTGCTGGCTTAACAAGAGAAAAGAAAGAGCAAAAATTGCTTGGAAGAGCATTTGTCATCCTTTGCAAAGCTGGATTCTTTGCACCCCAAATCCAGCCACAAATGGAAGGATTAGAAATTATGTTGATGGGTCCTTGGTGCTCTCTGAGCTTGGTTCCTTTCTTACAGACCTTTCATTACCCCGACCAGGTAACATCAGTGCTAGAAATTATTTTGCAGGCAAAAACTGCCTGGATGATATGCTCTTTCTGTCCACCCTCTTTCAAATCTAATGACCTGCTTTACCTTTTAATATGGTGTCTACGGAGATTCTCAGTCATCCAGGTCATGGTTGTCCCAAAGGTGCTTTTTCAAGAGGTAACTGGACTTTCAGGCTTTTTCTTTCGAAGACATTTTCCTTCTCATCCAAGAAGCTTTTTCAGCTCTGAAGAAGAAAAGCTAAAGAAGCTTCTTGGATGAGAAGCGAACCGTCTTCGAAAGAAAAACCAGAAATTCCAGATCCATGGATGCCCTCCCCAACCCTGCCTGGCCCCCACAGGTGCCCCCCGCTTGTGAGTGATATTGAACTGGCCACACCCCTGGGCCATGCCCAGTCAGCTGGGCCACACCCCCACGCCCCACCCCAGCCCCCGAGGACAAACACAACGCTGATACGGCCCTCAATGAAATTGAGTTTGACACCCCTGTGCTAATGTGATTATTTCAGTTATTATTGAGAAGACTTTCATAATTGAATGTCAAAGAATTACTAAAAGGAACACTCTCTACTTAACAGATGCTAACACTGTAATAGCCTTATTTTTTATTATCCTTCTCTTACTTGAGTTGTAGGTTCAACGCTTGTTCCATCATAAGCAGGCGTTATCTTCATTCTATTCTTCACTGCGAGGGAGACAGAATTTTAACACGCAAAATTAACAAAATAGGACAAGCTATTCTACAGAATAGCGGGGATTTCTCTGGAGAATGGGAGGATCTTCAGTTACCTCCTGAGGTATCCTGACTTGAATCTTCCTGAGAGATCCTCCTGAAAAACGTCTCCTGGAAGGGATTTGATGGATTCTTCCTTCCCTCAGGATCGCTGATCTCCACAGCAAAGGACTTGAAATAAGAGACAAGAGAGAAGAAGAATTAAAGTGCTCCCCTTGAAGAGCACTCGGAGGCTCCAACTGGTCCAGAATGCGGCCGTGCGGGTGGTTATGGGCGCAACTCGTTGTGCCCGCGTGACACCCCTCCTGCGCGAGCTGCACTGGCTCCCAGTGGTCTTCCGGGTGCGATTCAAGGTGTTGGTCATCACCTTTAAAGCGCTCCATGGCACAGGACCCGGGTACCTTCGAGACCGACTTCTGCCACCAATAGCCTCCCACCGGCCAGTTCACTCCCACAGAGAGGGTCTCCTCAGGGTGCCATCAGCCAGGTTATGTCGGCTGGCGACACCCAGGGGGAGGGCCTTCTCTGTGGGAGCCCCAGCCCTGTGGAATGAACTGCCCCCGGAAATACGTAAGATCTCCGACCTCCGGGTGTTTCGCTGCGCACTGAAGACCCTGTTGTTCCACCAGGCCAGGCTATCAACATAATAATTTTAAATTGGGGTATTTTAAATTTTCGGGGTTTTAAACCGGGCCAAATCTATTTAATTATTTTAATTTTTAATCATTGTTTTGTCTTGTGTTTTTAAATTGGCTGTACACTGCCCTGAGTCCTTCGGGAGAAGGGTGGTATAGAAATAAAATTATTATTATTATTATTATTATTATTATTATTATTATTATTATTATTAGGCATCACACAAGATGAAGTGGGCCCTTGTTCTCTGAACACAACCTGAAAATCCCCAGCCTCCATCAGTGAGGCTGAGTGAAAAATGAATTGTACAATGTCCGCACATCTCCACATATTATGAATGCCAGAAAAGTCTGCGAAGGAGGGGTGAAGAATTCAAACACATATTTTTACATTCCCTTCTGGGTTCTTATCCAGATGAAGGTTTCTCACCTGCAACTCAACCTGCTTCTTCTGCTCCTCCATCTGGCTCAGGAGGAAGCCTTCAGCCAGGGCCACTGCCTGGGCGCTAGTCTCTGCTCCACACTCCCGCACCCAGCTCTCCATCTTCAGGGGCAGAAGGGCCAGGAGCCGCTCCAGAACAACCAGGTCCAGCACCTGGGCTTTGGTGTGCTTTTCTGGTCTCAGCCATCGCCTACAAAAGTCATGGAGTCGGCTGCAAAGTCCTCGGGGACCCTTAGCCTCCTGGTATTGGAAGCTCCTTAAGTTCCAGGGCTGAACTTCCGAACAGATGATGGTTTCCTCCTCCAGGATCTTCTGCCTAGTTCTTGCCCAGATGTCCCCACAGGTCTCAGACTGAACAATAGCAGGGCCTTTTCCAGTTCTCTCAGTGGCTAAAGGTTGTGTTTCCATACTTTCCCTGTCCTGAAACTCAACTCCAAATGGATCCAAGGAAATCTTGTGGATCTCCAAATGCCTTTTAATTCATATGATCGATCTTGTACACACTGGAAAGATGCCAGAAAGCCTTTCAGCTCTTCCCCCCCCCCCAAGAGATAATTTTTGTATGCCAAGATGTTCAAATGACTCCACTTTGTGTATCTGAGATGGAAAAGAAAATCAGTTCCAAGAATTAAAAGGTGTAGATTTAACCACTGAAACAATACATTTTTCCGATGAGCTCTAGGGCAGTGATGGCTAACCTTTTTGCCATCGTGTGCCAGGAGCGTGTGTTTCATGTGCATGCGTGGGACCAGAAGTTGGCAAATGGGCCATTTCTGGCTTCCAGAGGGCCTCTGGGGGATGGGGAAGGCTGTTTTTGCCCTCCCCAGACTCCTAGAAAGGCTCTGGAGGCTGGGGAGAGAGAAAACAGGCCTTCCTCACCACCTCCCAAGATCCTCCGGAGGCAGGAAACAGCCTGTTTCCCTACTTCTGGTGGGCCCAGAAGGCCCAAAAATCAGCTGGCCGGCATACCGGAGCTGAGCTCACGTGCCCACCAATATGGCTACGCGTGCCATAGGTTCACCATCACGGCTCTAGAGGTTAAGGAGAGTGAGTGGAAGGTCCTAGAGAGGACATTTGTGATGTCCTCAGGAAAGCCAACCCTCCAGCTGTTCCTTCTCTTGGCCAAGAGCACCTCATGGAAGATCCCTTATGCAATGCAGCTTCTCATGCCAAGAGGGCAGAAAAGGAGCATTTTCCATTGGGGAAGAAAGGAGGAAGGAGGCTGTCCAACCTCATTATTTTCTTGTTTCTTAATCATGAAGCTCACCTGAATTGGCTTGAAGGGCTCCTCTGGGAGGTCCTAGAGACAAAAAGCATCCAGGGCCTACACATGGAGATCAGGTGTAGGTTGGCCAACTTCTTTTTCAGGGCATTTTCTTAACAATTTCTCCTTGTAAAACATCCTTCCATTCTCCACCATCCAGTCAGAGCCAAAGAAGCTTCTTGGAGGAGAAGCGAAACGTCTTCAAAGAAAAACAAGAAAGTTCAGTTGTCTCTTGTAAAAACACCTTTGGGACAACCACGACCTGGATGACAGAGAATCTCCATAGACATTTAGCTACTGAAAGCCAAATATGGCCCTAGGTTCTGCCTCAGTTTACCTTTCCATTAAGCAACTGAGTTGGAAGATCGTTTAAAAGCAGGTTATTGGGGTACCCTGTTAGCCGTAAGTATATAATCATGCAATGTGAGAGAAAGCCGCTAGGCGGGTTTTTTCCTCTCTTCTTAGGAAGACAAATCAGGAGAAATTAGCATATCAGTACAACTGCAGAGCAGGCTCCCATGCTGTGATAGGATTATATACAGCCACCTAGAGCCAAAGGCAAAACTGGAACCCACCATTACTTAAGCTGCAAACGTATTTAATATTTTCCAATTTCTTGATAATACCCAGAATAAGATCCTACAAACCTGGGGAGCTACGTGAGAATGTATTCATCATTTTCTGGATTGCTTCCACAGCTAAAAGTTGAAGAAAGAAAGAAAAAAAAAATCATTTGTCCTGTGTTAGATTAATGTGAATAAAATAGGAATCATACAGAGTCAGCTACATGAACTCTAAAGGACCCTCTCTATTCACATTATTATAAAGCTACATGAACTCTAAGAGACCCTTTCTATTCACATTATTATAAAGGAGAAATGTGCTTGTTGGAGATTACATTAAAGTCAGCTAAACCCCATTAAGTGGTAATATATCTTCTGATGAGACCTAGCTGTCATGGAGGGACAGCCATATGGAAAACATCTGAGGGGCCTCACAAAGACAGGCACAGGAAACAAAGAGTCAGTTATTTATTTATTTATTTATTTTTATTTATTAAATTTATATACCGCCCTATTCCTAAGGGACTCAGGGTGGTGAACAGCGAACGATAAAAATATATGTAATACAAACGTTAATAAAAAACCAATTAAAATATACTAAACACTCTGGTCCTAGATAATTCAAGACATCCCAGTTTAAAATAAAATCAAAGAGCAATATAAAGGGAAAGTTAGGCCAGGCCGGCCTGCTGAAACAGGAATGTTTTGAGGGCACGGCAGAAAGTGCGCAGATCCGGAATCTTCTGTATCTCTGGGGGGAGCTCGTTCCAGATGGTGGGTGCCCTCACAGAAAAGGCTCTCCCCCTGGGGGCCGCCAGTCGACACTGTTTGGCTGACGGCACCCTGAGAAGCCCCTCTCTATGGGAGCGTACTGGGCGGTGAGAGGCTATTGGTGGCAGAAGGCGGTCTCGTAAGTACCCCGGTCCTAAGCCATGGAGTGCTCTAAAGGTGGTAACTAAGACCTTGAAGCGCACCCGGAAGACCACAGGGAGCCAGTGCAGCTCGCACAGGAGGGGAGCCACATGGGAGTGCCATGCTGCTCCCATAACTACCCGCGCGGCCGCATTCTGGACCAGCTGGAGCCTCCGGGTGCTCCTCAAGGGGAGCCCCATGTAGAGAGCATTACAGTAGTCCAGGCGTGAAGTGACGAGGGCATGAGTGACCGTATTTAACGAGTCCCGATCCAGAAAGGGGCGCAACTGGCGAATCAGGCGAACCTGATAAAAAGACCTCCCGGCCACAGCCGTCAAGTGTTCTTCTAAAGACAGCCGTGAGTCCAAGAGGACGCCTAAGTTGCGAACCCTCTCCGTGGGGGGCAATGACTCATCCCCAATAGTCAGTGATGGCACCAATTGACTATATTGGGACGTCAGAAACCACAGCCACTCGGTCTTATTACCTCTTATTACCCAAGGACAGCAATAAATCTCCCATTAGCAGCTACAGCACTTAAGGAAAAGTTGTGTTTTGGAATGATGAGGACAAAGCAACATTCCTAGGTCAGCCAGAGACATTTTTATTGCGCAAGGTTCAGAGAGGTATGCATACCTAAAAAATCTGAACAACTTTATGATTCTTTTATTATTATTATTATTATATTTTTATTGTTAAAGAATAACAGAAAGGAAAAAAAAATACAAAAATCAATAGTAAGGAAAGAAAAATGTTTTCCCCCCAACGTGCTATACAAATGGAAAGGAAGTTTTAGGAAATTGAAGTCTTCAATTCTTCCAGAAATCTCTTTGATAAGGTACTGGTGCCGATTCATCCAATCTCCCAAATGCAAAGTCCACAAATGGTTGCCAAGTGTTCCAAAAAACATTTTCTTTATATATACCACTTCTAATTTTAATATCACAAGTCAATTTATCATTTAATGCAAATTTCCATGTTTCAGTATACCATTCTTCTAATTTTAAGTCAAAATTTAATTTCCAATATCTAGCAATTATAATTCTCCCCATTATAACCAAAATCCTCACCAATTCTCTTTCTCCAGTTGTTAATGTTGTTTCATTCAATATTAACAATATGGTTTCCAATTTCAATTTGACCCTCTTCTTAATCATTTCAAATATTTCATTTTCTATCCTAAACCAAAAAAGTTGAACCCCATTACATTTACACCACATATGAGCATATGTCCCGAGTTCCACTTTACATCTCCAAGACATTTTATCCACTTTATTATCCATTTGAAAAAGTCTTATTGGGGTCAAATATCACTTCCAAATAATTCCAAATATAGTTATGTTCTTTAATCCTTATTGATAATGTTCTCATTATTCTACTAACCCAGTTCATATTCCAATTTTGATCAGAAATTTCAATACCCAGTTCTTTTACCCAATTCTCTTTCATTACCCTTTGTGAATTATTATCAAAGTTAATAATTTTATAAATTTTACTAACTAATCCCTTTGGCCCAATTTCATCTTTTATTATTCGAGATGTCAAATTTTCAAATTCCGTTTCCTTTCTATTCTCATCATTCCTTTCTTTGCATTTCCTATTCCATTTATTCATTTGAATTCTTTCAAACCAATTAATGTTTAATTTTCCATAAATTTCCTCTTTCCTCATTTCATTTTCTATAAATTTCAACCATTCATTAATTGTTTCCACTTTCTCTTCTATTATAATCCTCTCTCTGTTACTATTTAATTTCATTTGGCAATTCTCTTTCAGTTTACCTAAATACAATGCGACTGGTATTAATTTTTTTGCTACTCTGTCCCAATTTTTAGTCACTATTTAACCAATAATTACAAATTTTAACTTTACCTTTAAAATTTTCCAAAAACCATTTATAACCAAACTTCTTTATTTCCTTCATTTCCAAGTTACCCCAAAGTTTAACATCTCCTTTTAAAATTTTTACTACTGTTTTTATATTAAATGCTCTATAATAGTTTAATAATTTTGGAATTCCTAAACCACCTTGTTTTTGGTTCTGATACCACATTTTCTTAATCAGTCTTAGTTTTTTATCCCCATTACAAAATTTATCTAATTTTTTTTTATATATATTTCAATGTCCTTCTCGGTTAAAAAAATTGGAAGCATCTCGAATAAAAAGTTAAATTTAGGAAGTAATATCATTTTACATAAAGCTACTCTACCAAACCAAGATAACTTAAGTTTTTTATATTTCCCAATTTTCTCTTCAATTTCTTTTATTACTATGTCATAATTTAGTTTCTTTAAATTTTTAATTTTAAGTGAAAGTATAATACCTAAATATCTTAAATTATCCTTTATCCTAATTCCAAATTGGTTTTGTAATTTTTCTAATTTGTTTTCCCTATCAATTTCCATTAATAATTCTGATTTTGCCCAATTTACTTTCAAACCAGTCACATCTTCAAATTCTTCCAAATGTATTTGAACTCTTTTTATATCATTTGTAATATTATTTAAAATGACAAGAGTGTCATCTGCATATAAATTAACTTTGACGCCTTTATAACCTATTAATTCTGAATCCTCTTCAATCAAAGTTGTTAAAATTTCCATTGCTAATAAAAATAGGGTCGGAGACAGGGGACAACCCTGTCTTGTCCCTGCTTCCAAATTTATATCTTGTCTAAATATACCATTTACCTTCATTCTTGCCGTACCCCTCTGGTACAATTTGGAAATAATATGAATAAATTTATTACCAAATCCTAATGCAGAAATAATTTCTTTTATAGTATCCCATTGTATAGAATCAAAGGCTTTAAAAATATCCAAGGCAAGAATACCTATCTTATCACCATTATTCTCAGCAATATCAATAACATTTAATACTCTTCTAACTAAATCATACATATAACACCCTTTAACAAAACCTACTTGATTATGGTTTATATATTTATCTATAAAATTATTCAATCTATTTGCTACAATTGGAGTAAATATCTTAGCATCTTGGTTAATCAAGGAAATGGGCCGATAGGATTCAATCTTTTCTAAATCTTTACCTGGTTTCGGGATTAAGGATATAATTGTTCTATTCCAGGACAACTTTATGATTCTGAGACCACAGTTTTATACATTTTCAAACAAAGGATTCTGTTAACTCAGCAGTTTATATGGTCATATACATTTGTTATATTTAATTGACATTTCCTAATTACTAAAGTCTTACATTATCCTTGCCAAACAATCATAATTCTTCTGTAAATTACTGGAGCATAGATTCAAATTATCTTCTGTTGATAAACGACTTCTAGCTCATGTGGATACCCTTGACCTTACCAACCTTTAAGCTGTATGTCATTAGAATGTTCCTATCTTCTGACAACTTAGAGGCCTCCTAAAGGTATCAAAAGGATTTTGGCTGACTTTGTACTTTTTCCAACCGGATGCATTTCCTGCTTTTAGAACAGAGTGAATAGAAAGTTATCCAGTGGTCATCTATCAGGTCCCGCTTCATCTACATTAAGACTGCTGAACCTTGCACAATAAACCTTTCCTTTCAATAAAGAGCTGGTGTGGTCTCTTTTCTGTAACACAGTGAATGCATTTCTTCCTGGAAGAGTGGTAAAAGTTTTTTTAACTATGAAAAAAGCGTTGCAGGAATAATAAGATTCAGACCTCCGAATCAAAAGGAATTGTATTTATTTGCGCAAAAGGTTCAGAGCAATATAGCCGTAGCAACATCTGAACCCCCTCTTATGGAAAAACAAGCACTTATATACTTTTCAAAAGTAGCAAAACACGGAAATATAGCCTATCAGCATTGATTGGTTATATTATTTATAGCTTCATCTACATTAGTTGTGTAGCTAAAATAATCTAATAAACTAGAAACTAATGGTTTAGTAATTAGGAAGTGTGTCAATTATCATACAACAAGTGTATGTTAACCATATATGGAAAATGCATGAGCTCATGTTAACCATATATGGAAAACTGGATGAGCTCACCGAATCTTTTGTCTCAGAAATGTATAAAAACAGTTATATCAGAGCTCTTTCCTTGTTCAAGTTTCAGGTACAAATCTGGCTCTGAACCTTGCGCAATAAACTGACTCTGGCTGACCCAGGAATGTTGTTCAGTCTCAATTTTTCCACAAGATAGACTATACTTGTCCATGGAGGCTCTATCAAAGATTGTCAAATTTTACTTTCTCCTCCCCACTTTCACCCTCATTAGATGCCATGCTAAGCAGTGGTGGGTTGCTACCGGTTCACTCCGGATCGGGCGAACTGGTAGTGGCGGCGGGGGCGGGAGGCTCTGCCCAACCGCCCGGACGACTCTGCGTATGCGCAGAAGCGTTATGCATGAGCGCGAGCGCACCCACGACCAAACCAGTAGCAAACGAAATTGAAACCCACAACTGATGCTAAGGGGAAAAAATGTAACACAATAAATTTGACACATTCAAGGTTTTAAGAGATAAAGCAGTACTTTTCAAAAGTAGCAAAACACGGAAATATAGCCTATCAGCCTTGATTGGTTACATTATTTATAGCTCCCTGTTGCTCTGTTAAAGAAGCTAAATATCTTGCTCCCCCTTCATACAGGATGAGGTCACAGGTGTCTTGCAGGAAGTACCTAAGTTTCCAGCAGTTTGTTCGTGGATACCTTAATGCTTGAATAACTGGGAACTTGAGGTTTGACATTTTCCATTTCCTTCACACATTTTATTTATTTATTATTCAAACTTCTATACCGTCCTTCTCCTTTCGGACTCAGGGCGGTGAACAGCCAAAATAAAAACATTTATACATAACATTGCAATTAAAAATAGATTTAAAATAATTAATATTGCCTAAAAAGCAATATTTTATAACCTTCTTTTTGTTCTGCCTCACTAGGATTGTTTCTTTGACAAGAATGCCCTCAAATGCATTGTTTAGGATAAATCCAAACTAAAACGCAAAGGAAAATCACTGAAGTTTTACACACACACCAGAAACAGAATATCAGAGTTGGCTGCGACCTTAGAGGTCTTCTCCGCCTTCTGAGAAAGGTTTGTCCAATTTCCTCTTAAAAACCTCCAGTAATGAAGCACCCACAGCTTCTGGAGACAATCATCCCATTGATTGATTAGTCTCAACCTTCAGGAAATCTTCCTTAGTCCTAGATTAGTTTTCTCCCTGATTAATTCCAGCTATTGCTCATGGTTCCGTCTTGTAGTACCTTTTTTTAAAAAAATGTATTTTGAGGGAAAGAAGAGATCCGATGCCACAGTGCCCCTCCCTTCTCAGGCAAAAGTTGTAAGCAGGGAAAAAAATGGTTAAAAGAACATAAATAAACTGGTAACACCCCCCCTCCCTTTCCTACTTGGATTCAAGGTAATGCAAATCTCATTCTGCCTTTGAAATTGTATCTAATTTCAAAGGCAGAATGAGATCTGCATTCCTTTGAATATGCTGTCCAGCTTGACGTTTTTGGCAGAAAGAAAGAAAGAAATTGCCCTCAGACGTTTACCAAGGTGTAGAAAAGAAAATCTCCAAAGCGGATCACCCACAAATACAATGCAGATGTTTCCTCATTTAAGAAAAGGGAGAATAGCAAACAATTCCTTCAGAAAAGATCTCAGCTACTATGTTTACTATGAGCAAAAATAAAGAATTACAGACGCACAGACAAGAGAGATCATCTTAGCTAAATATCCTTTATTAATTTTGTGATTGCTGATGCGTAGGTTAATGGCTGCTTTGGTTAATAAGTGACTCTTGCTTCATATGGATTTCCTTGCAACTGTGACAGCTTGGTCTCTCAGATGTTATGTATCAACAAAAATGGAATTTAACTGACTTGGTGAAATCTCCAAACAAGCATATTTCTTTCTTATGATCAGGAGATAAAGAGGACCCTTCAATGTTCATGTAGCTGACCCTGTATTATCCCCACATTATCATTATTCCTGCAACAAAGAGGCAACTGGACTTTCTGTTTTTTTTTTCTTTGAAGATGTTTTGCTTCTCATCCAAGAAGCTTCTTCAGCTCTCAGCTGAAGCTTCTTGCATGAGAAGCAAAACGTTTTTTCAAAGAAAACACAGAAAGTCCAGTTGCCTCTTGAAAAAGCACCTTTGCATGTTCACAAGAATAAACATACCTTACGCACACACAATAATAAAATAATCATAATAAATATATGGAACATTGTCCATGTTGGTCACGATGGGTGGGACACAACTTCGCAACTAACAACAACACACATACACACATCACCCTAGAATCAGCATGTAGACACCCTCGGATAAGTTCCCCTTATAAAAATCTGCTACTGCACCCCATTTCTCGGCAGCCTTCCCCCAAAGGCAACCTGTTTGGCTTTGAGGTATAAATATTTCTTCTTTCCTCCCAGCTGCCTGGATCTCATTTTTATTTATTCTTGTTCTTTTATTTATTCTTGTTCGAATTGGAGCCCCAAAGGATTCTCCTGCCAGATGTGGTGAAACGTTTTCAAGTCCACCAGTCTATTTCTCTGTGTAAATCTGTCTCCAATTGTTTTGTCTTTAATTTAAATGCCTTGATAGTCAATTATATCTTTATATCTAATTATTTTTGTCTTCTCTGTTAAATTTGGGTGTCTAATTGATTCTACCGGCGATAACCAATTTGGTATCTTCATATAATGTTGTTTTTTAATTTTAAGCCAAATTTGTAGTAATGAGTTTCTTATTGTGTGTCTTTTAAAATATGAATGTGTTGTGTATTTTTCATCCCGCATAAAGGAGTGCCAGCCAATTTGGAGTTCGTGTCAAATACACTCAAATACAATCCAAATACAGAGAACATATAAAAACATATGAAATTCAAAACCAAAACCAAGAAATAGATAAAATTATATTAGATTCAGAAAACAAATTAATTAGTAGAATCTACAAATTTCTTCTACACTATAAATTGGAAGAAGAGACAGTCAAAGAAACGATGATTAAATGGGCTCAAAACATCAAACATACAATACCTTTGGAAAAAGGGGAAAAGTTCTGGCAGGTAAACCTAAAATTAACAAAAGCAACTACAAGTACAAGGAAAACCATCTGAAAATGTTTTATAGGTGGCACATGTCTCCAACCAGACTGGCAAAAATACAGCCTAAAAATAGCCCGATCTATTGGAAGTATAAAAAGACACAAGGGACCTGCTATCATTTATGGTGGACTTGCCCGGCAGCAAAGAAATTTTGGTTTATTAGGAATTTTTAACAAATCATATCCTAAAGATATCAAATATCTCACAATTCACATATTAACAGCTGCAAGAATAACTTACGCAAAAAATTGGAAGCAAGAAAGAACACCAAATGAAACAGAAGTAATAGAAAAAATCTTAGCATGTGCTGAAATGGATAGGTTAACCAAAGAAAGAGAAGAAAGAGAAGAATCAGATTATTACAAAATATGGAATAATTGGTATAATTGGTTAAAAATGAGAAATAAACAAAAAATATAGGGGGAAATATTACCGATTTAAATATATATAAAAAAAATGTTACTAGATTAAGGAGAGGTGAAGAAATATAAGTAGAATTGTACAATGTCACTTTAAAAAAATGCTTAAGAAGAAATCATAATCTTTTTGCGTATATGTTGTTTAAATGTTTGTTGTGTATATGTTATGTTATGTCTTTTTTAATATTTTTACTCAATAAAAATTTATTTTTTTTTAAAAAAAAAGAAAAGTGAAACGTTTTCAAAAGGGGGGGGGCACCCCCAAAAGTCCAGTTGTTGCATTTTTGGGGGAAAAAGCCCCTTTGGATCGGAAGGACCGCAAAGAAACTTTCTGGGAGCAACTGCCCCAAAGCTCCTTCCCGGAGCCCCTCGGGGAGCCTCGGCCGGGAGTGGGGGACTCTCCCCGCTTTGCACCCCTCGAGGGAAGGGAGGCGGCAGCTCCCTGCAGGCGACGCGGATGCCGAAGCGGATCCCCAAGCAAAGGCATGCAAGGCGTGGCGGGGATGAAGCCTTACCTGGCCGAAGCGAGAACCTAGAAGCCTCCTCCGAGGGATCCGGCGCCGATCTCCAAGGGGAATCCTCTGGGAAGGATCCGGGGGAGGACGGGACTGAACGAAGCGGGAGAGCAGCGAAGAAGACAGCCGCTGCGGGGGCGGGGCTTCGCGCCTCCTCTCGGGATCCTCCTCCTCCAGGCAGCCACGCCCCTCGGCAATGAGCTCTTGGGCGGCCTTTCCCTCCCGTGACGATTGGCCAGAAGGGAGAAGATTGGCTCCGCCCCCGAACGTCCGAGCGGGATTTCCCTTCGAGGCGCCTTTCCCATGCAAATGAGGCGAGGCGGGAGGAACGGTCCACTTTGGGGGTTCGAGAGGGGGCGTTCGAGGTGGTCGAGCCGGACTGCTACAGATGCTGCCTCCCCTGCGGGGGCTGAAAGGTGGATTCTTCCTATAAGGGGAACTTTTTTCCCCGCAAGGAGAAACGTAGCTCCGATTTCTCTACGTTTCTGCTTGAAAGTTCTGGCTGGATCGCTTGGAAAAATCTGACTTGGATTGCCTGCTCGGAAGAGGCTCAATGCAGGTAGTCCTCGATTTACAGCAGATAGATACATTAACAAAGTTGGAAGGGACCTTGTAGGTCATCTAGTCCAACCCCCCACCCAGGCAGGAGACCCTACCTTCATCACTTCTGACAGGTGGCAGTCCAGTCTTCTTCTTGAAAGCCTCCAGTGGTGAAGATCATTTAGTGACCATTCAAAGTAAATGACGACACGGGGGAAAATAGGGACTTGTGGCTGTTTTTCACACTTACGACCCTTGCAGCCTACTCATGGACACGTGATCAGAATTCAGACGCTTGGCAACTGACTTAGATTTATGACGGTTGCAATGGCCTGGAGCAACCTTCCGTCCAGAAAAGTCAATGGGGAAACCAGATTCGCTTAACAACCGTTTTATTAACTGTAGTGATTCATTTAACAACTTGTGGCAAGAAAGGTCGTAAAACAGGGCAACGTTCACTTGACAGATGACACCTGAAATGTTGGGAGGGGGCCTCTTTAAACAACTGTTTTTAGTAACCAGCAGAGCCTTTGATTAGTATTTCTATTTATTGAAGTAGGCAAGTAAGAAATTGGCCAGAGACGAAAATGCCCAGAAAGTCAATCTATCATTACTTGAAAACTCATAACATGAGAAATATTGAGAAACATGAGATGGCATCTCCCGCTGGCGAGACTCACCAAAATGTTTCCAAATACATCACTGATTTGTTGGAAATGTAAGAAATCTTAGGGAACATACTATCATTTATGGTGGACGTGCACATCTGCAACAAAATATTGGACTAAAATCAAAAAAATGGCTTGAAGAAATAACTCAACAACATATAGACAGGAAACCAGAATTATTTTCATTAGGGAATACTCTCCAAAAAATATACCAAAGAAATACAATATCTAATTTTACATATTATAACGGTGGCCAGAATAACATATGCAGAGAATTGGAAAACTAACATAATACCAAAAGAAGAAGAGGTGATGAGAATTTAATTTAATTTAATTTAATTAATTCAATTTATATGCCGCCCCTCTCCGAAGGCGGCTCAGAGAAATTTGGATGTGCGGAGATTGTGCGGAGATGGACAAATTAATGAAAGAGATAAAAGAAAAAGATGAAACAGAATATTATTTAATATGGTATAAATGGTTAGAGGCAGTGGTGAAATGTAAAATTTGTTACTACCGTTCTGTGGGCGTGGCTTGGTGGGGGTGGGTGGGTGGGTAATGTGACTGGGTGGGTATGGCCAACTTTTTCTTTTAAAAAAACTTTTAAAAGCATTTTTTCTACAACCTCTTCGGCAGCCATCGCTACCGGATCGGGCGATCCAGTCCTAACTGGGAGCATTTCACCCCTGGTTAGAGCTCAGGAATAGTAAGTAAGAAGACTTACCAAAATGCCACTAAACAGATCATGTATGTAGAGTAACATATAGATACAATAATATGTATAACAGATAAAGAACTATATTTATAAATAAGGAACAAGGGGACCACGAATATAAATATATGTAAAGACGGGGAGGGGGAAAAGCGTGAACTTTAGAAGAGCACCAATATGAAACGGTTGTAAAATGGAAATGTATGTTTCGTGTTTGTTTCTGGTTTTGTTTTTAAAGGAAAAATAATAAAAACATTAAAAAAAATAAAAAATAAAATAAAAAGGGATTTTGTCAGGACAAGGAATCTGCTTCATGCTTTTGTGAAGCCTAGATCAGAACAGACGTGTAGTTGGCACTATTACCCCTGCAGGCCATGGAAAGCCCCCCAGGAAACACCCAATATCCCTGAGATACTACCCAATGTCCTTGGAAGACCCCCAAGGGAGGAGGTTGACCAAAAGTCCAGTTCCCCACCATAGAGTCTCCTCTTAGCGCGGTGTCCTTTTTCCTCTACCTGTCCTAACCGAAAGCCCTATCAATTGTGGAGCCAACCGGCGACAGGGAGCTGCAGAAGAGGGATGAAAGAGCCACATGTGGCTCCAGAGCCGTGGGTTGCTGACCCCTGGTATAGATGATGGAGCAAGGGAGGGGGCCTCTTTAAACAATTGTTTTCAGTAACCAGATTTTTTGATTAGCATTTCTATTTATTTGAAGTAGGCAAGTAAGAAGTTGGCCAGAGACGAAAACTGCCCAGAAAGTCAATCTATCATTACTTGAAAACTCCTAACATGAGAAATAAAATTCTTGAATATTCAATTAGTGAGCAAGATCATGCTATTGTTGTGGGATAATATGAAAATGGTACATGTAAAGTTACTGAACATTGCTCGCTAGATGCTTTATAACTCAGATTAGGCTATCCAATGAAAGTACACATTCCAAACTCAATGATTGAACTGTATGGTGGTTTTCTCACTTTTCTAAGGATCTTCTCACTTTGGGAGACCTATCCTTTTCTTATATATAAATAAAGTGGTTTTTCCTCCTCTTAAATTATCATTGTTTTCATTCCAGCTGTAAGGTCCCAAAATACACTTGAGTCACCAGAATGCCAAAGAGAGAGACTCAAGACGAGGCTTGCAAAAAAAAACAGATTTTATTTATGGCCAAAAAGAAAATACTGAGTGAAACTATATCCAGAACATACAGATACAATGCATGCGAGGAGATAGCCACACCTTGGGGAAGTTTCCCCCTCTTAAATTATCATTGTTTTCATTCCAGCCTTAACATAATTATTTTGAAATTGCATACAATTTGTATCCATCATAATAATACCCAAAAGTCCTATTTTTGTCTCAATCTTAAAGACATTTTTCTGCCAATGGCCAGTTCTATTTGGCCTTCTAGTTGCATTTTTTTCCCCAATTTTTTTCTTTTTTCCTTTTGGGCTTCATTTTCCTGCCTTTTGTGAATTTTCTTATGCCTTCGAAGAGACGAACTCCAACCAAAACTTTTTCCGCACACAGAGCACTTATGTGATTTTATCCCGGTGTGAATCTCCTCATGGGTCCGAAGGTCACAAATATGAACAAACTCCTTCCCACATTCCCTGCAGGTGTGAGGTTTCTCCCCTGTGTGAAACCTCTCATGGATTTTCAGATATTTTTTGTAAGCAAAAGATTTCCCACACTCCAGACATTTATAAGGTTTTTCTCCGGTGTGGATGCGCTGATGCCTCAAAAGGCTGTAATTCCTGGGAAAACATTTACCGCACTCCAAACATTTCAGGGAAATCACTCCTATGTGCTTTACCTGGCTGTGTTTTCTAAGGGTCGACAAATAAGCAAATGCTGCCCCACAGTCTAAACATTTGTAATCTTTTCTTCCTTTGTGAACTTGCCCGTGACGTTTGAGGTCTCCTTTGCTATGAAAGGACATTACACACTCGATGCACTGAAAGGGCTTCTCCCGTGAGTGAATCTTCTGATGTTGCCAAAGGCTTCCCTTTACAAGGAAGCACTTCCCACACTCTGTGCACTTGTATGGTTTCCCCCTGTGTGGGCATCCTGATGCGCACGAAGATACCAGTTGCAGGCAAAGCTTTCCCCACACTCATCACATTTATAGGGTTTCTTTCCTCTGTGAAATTCCTGATGTCTCGAAAGTGTTGAAGTATCTATAAATCGTTTCTCACATTCGGGGCATTTATAGGGTCTGTCGCCAGTATGAATTGTCTGATGTCGTATCAGGCATGCCTTGGTGGAAAAACATTTCCCACAATCTGGACACTCTTCCTTTTTCTCCCTCCTGTTTGTTTTCTTGTGACGCCGAAGAGATGATCGCTGGGCAATTTTTTTCCCGCATGCATTATAAGACTTGATTTCTTTGTGAACTTCCTTGTGGAGCCAAAGCTGTGACTTCTGAGCGAAGGCCTTCTCACATTGGCCACACTTGTAAAGTTTCTCTCCTGTGTGAAGCTCTGATTTCTGAGATAACCACGGACTTTTCTGGCATTCCTGAGGTCTTTTCCGCTGGTGGATTCGCTGATGGGCTCCAAGGTCCGAGCCTTTAGTAAAACGCTTCCCACACTCTCCACATTTGTAAGGCCTCAGTCCAGGGTGGCTCCGGAGATGTTTAGCAAAGTCCCACATTCCAGGAAAGGATTTCCCACATGTCAAACATGGATGCGATCCATTCCCCGTGTGCAGCTTCCGGTGGATCAAAAGGAGGGACCGGTAAGCAAAGGATTTCCCGCACTCAGAGCATTTGGAGAGTCTCTCCGGATTCCTTCGGTTGAAGCATTTTCCCCTTTGCATCGTTTCCATAGTGTCTCACTTGCGGTTCCTTTGTAACCAGAGACTACTTGCAAGCAAAACTTTTGACTCCAGGTTTTTCCAGGGGGCACCTGAGGACAAAAGAAAAAGAAGTGAGGACATGTATTTGCTCTCCTTCAGAGCCCAAAATAGCCCAAAGGTTAGGTAGAAGACCTCTTGCATGAGTTCTGGGAGGATCTATAGCTATGCTATAGCTATGCTGAAGAATTCTTTGATATCTCTCTTAAAGTCAGTTGAAGTCCACAAGTCTTAAAGCTGCCAAGTTTGAAGACCTCTGGTGTAAATCATCAAGATCTGCAAAGATTCATGTTGGAGGTCAATTGAGCTCCACCCGCCCACCCATTTCCTGAAAGGAAGGCTGATGGCATCCTTTGGCCAAAACATGACCATCCTACCTGACCCACAGGTGAGACTTCGGGCTCTGTCTTGAACCAGTTTCTTTTCACTTAATGTGTTACATTCCCCCCCATAAACACTGGAATTACTCTTGTACTGGTAGTAAAAAAATTTGAAACCCACCACTGCCTCAGAGACATCAGCTTAGTACCCAATTCTGGCCCCCTGGCCCATGCCCTCCTAGTAGCTCTGCATTGGCTGTGCAGCAAGTATGCCAACCTATGACATACCCTGCTTCTTCTTTGAGATATGTACCAGGCTCTGAGTCAGAGGTGGGTTTCAGCAGGTTCTGACCAGTTCTGGAGAACCAGTAGCGGAAAGTTTGAGTAGTTCAGAGAACCGGTAGTAAAAATTCTGACTGGCCCCGCCCCCATCGATTCTCTGCCTCCCGAGTCCCAGGTGATCAGGAGGGAATGGGGATTTTGCAGTAACCTTCCCCTGGATTGGGGAGGGAATGGAGATTTTAAAGAGTGCCAGTTTCTCTGTATAATGAAGTAAATAATTTAGCAAGCAGATAAACATGAGAGTCACAATGTGTTAAGGGTTCCCTCTTGCTTTGAGGGGCCTGTCTTTTAGTTAATCAACTAAAATTAGCAAACTTCCTCAATTCCCCCAAATAAGGTTACCCAAGCTTAATCTACATTTCAAAGGATAAGTTCTGCAAACAGAGTTAATTAAATTAGGTCTCCCAGAGGAACTGCATGTTCATAAATGTCAATGGAGATTCTCAGTCCTCCAGGTTGTCCCAAAGGTGCTTTTTCAAGATGAGGCAGAACAAAAAGAAGGTTATAAGAGATTGCTTCTTAGGCAGTAAAATGTGTGAAGGAAATGGAAAATGTCAAACCTCAAGTTCACAGTTATTCAAGTTTTAAGGTATCCATGAAGGAACTGCTGGAAACTTAGGTACTTCCTGCAAGACACCTGCGACCTCATTCTGTATGAAGGGGGAGCAAGATATCTAGCTTCTTCAACAGAGCAACAGGGGGCTATAAATAATATAACCAATCAACGCTGATATCTTTATATTTCCGTGATTTGCTCCTTTTGAAAAGTATATAAGTGCTTGTTTTTTTCCATAAGAGGGGCTTCAGATGTTGCTACGGCTATATTGCTCCAAACCTTTTGCGCAAATAAATACAACTCCTTTGGATTCCGAGGTCTGAGTCTCATTATTCCTGCAACGAAGAGGCAACCGGACTTTCTGTTTTTTTTTTCTTTGAAGACGTTTTGCTTCTCATCCAAGAAGCTTCTTCAGCTCTCAGCTGAAGCTCAGATGAGAATTGGATGAGAGCAAAACGTCTTTTCAAAGAAAACACAGAAAGTCCAGTTGCCTCTTGAAAAAGCACCTTTGCACGTTCACAAGAATAAACATCCCTTACGCACACACAATAATAAAATAATAATAAATACATGGAACGTTGCCCATGATGGTCACGATGGGTGGGACACAACTTCGCAACTAACAACAACACACCCACACACATCACCCTGGTGAGATAGGTAAAACCTTGGTCTGAACCAATGTTAGAAAATATTAGGCCTGAATCCTTAGCTAAGATATATTGTTCCTCTTTATTTCTTAGAAGAACTGCTGTATTAGCAAGAATGTATTTTTATCTGACTAACTCAGACAGATGCATCCTGTTGTTCCCTGTATGTGTTGTCTCAGATGTCACATGCGAGACGAAGATAACATATGTTACTCCCTTTTTGTATTATCTTACCCCCTTGTCTGGAAGGAATGGTTTTAGTTCCCTATCATACCTTATATGTCCAATACACCACCCCTGAGTACGCCTATGTATTGAATAGTATAAATATCTGCTTATGTCAACCCTTCGGGGTTCAGACATTTTGCTTGCTTTTGCTGTTTGAACCTGCGCAAATAAACTTTCCTACAATGAAGAGCCTGTCTTTCCTACAACACTAGTAACATGGCAAAGGTGAAAAAGTCAGATAAATTCCACTCTTATTAATATAGAACGTCTGTGAGATCAGACAAACATCACATTCACAAGGTAACCCATAGGGAGCAAAGTCACATATTAGCTCCCATTAACAAAGATACACATTAACCGAAGTATACCACAAAGCGGACGCAGGAAACTTAGTTAGCTTTACAAGAAAACTATGAACTAGTGATAGGAAATAAGTTACTTAGAATAGCAACAAGGGGAGGGCAATGAAGATATCAATATGTAACCAGTCACAATCTGACAAATGTATATTAACCTTATTTATTTATTTTTTATTTATTTATTTATTTATTTATTTATTTATTTATTTATTTTTTCAATTTGTATACCGCCCTACTCCCGAAGGACTCAGAGTGGTGAAACAGCCATAGAATAAAACATATGAGTACAAAATTTAAAATAAAATAAAACGAATTAAATAATTTGGCTGAAAATTTAAAACCCCAATCATTTAAGACCAAATTTAAAATTTCCATTTAAAGAATATAGAAGAATTGCTTTCCTTGCATCTTGTACGCTGTGCTGTTGAGGTATAAAAGTATCTGTACCATAACCCTTCGGGGTTCAGACTTGCAAGTACAAAACTGCTTCTGAACCTTGCGCAATAAACTGTCTCTGGCTGACCCAGGAATGTTGTTCAGTCTCATCATTCCATAACACTAGAATCAGCATGTAGACACCCCCGGATAAGTTCCCCTTATAAAAATCTGCTACTGCACCCATTTGTCGGCAGCCTTCCCCCAAAGGCAACCTGTTTGGCTTTGAGGTATAAATATTTCTTCTTTCCTCCCAGCTGCCTGGATCTCATTGTTATTTATTCTTGGTCTTTTATTTATTCTTGTTCGAATTGGAGCCCCAAAGGATTCTCCTGCCAGATGAGAAGTGAAACGTTTTCAAGGGGGGGGGGCACCCCAAAAGTCCAGTTGTTGCATTTTTTTGGGAAAAAGCCCCTTTGGATCGGAAGGACCGCAAAGAAACTTTCTGGGAGCAACTGCCCCAAAGCTCCATCCCGGAGCCCCTCGGGGAGCCTCGGCCGGGAGTGGGGGACTCTCCCCGCTTTGCACCCCTCGAGGGAAGGGAGGCGGCAGCTCCCTGCAGGCGACGCGGATGCCGAAGCGGATCCCCAAGCAAAGGCATGCAAGGCGTGGCGGGGATGAAGCCTTACCTGGCCGAAGCGAGAACCGAGAAGCCTCCTCCGAGGGATCCGGCGCCGATCTCCAAGGGGAATCCTCTGGGAAGGATCCGGGGGAGGACGGGACTGAACGAAGCGAGCGAGAGAGCAGCGAAGAAGACAGTAGCTGCGGGGGCGGGGCTTCGCGCCTCCTCTCGGGATCCTCCTCCTCCTCCAGGCAGCCACGCCCCTCGGCAATGAGCTCTTGGGCGGCCTTTCCCTCCCGTGACGATTGGCCAGAAGGGAGAAGATTGGCTCCGCCCCCGAACGTCCGAGCGGGATTTCCCTTCGGGGCGCCTTTCCCATGCAAATGAGGCGAGGCGGAAGGAACGTTCCACTTGGGGCGTTCGAGAGGGGGCGTTCGAGGTGGTCGAGTCGGACTGCTACAGATGCTGCCTCCCTGCGGGGGCTGAAAGGTGGATTCTTCCTATAAGGGGAGCTTTTTTCCCCGCAAGGAGAAACGTAGCTCCGATTTCTCTACGTTTCTCTTGTTTCTTTGCTTTGTTCTGGCTGGATCGCTTGGAAAATCTGACTTGGATTGCCTGCTCGGAAGAGGCTCAATGCAGGTAGTCCTCGATTTACAGCAGATACATTAACAAAGTTGGAAGGGACCTTGTAGGTCATCTAGTCCAACCCCCCACCCAAGCAGGAGACCCTACCTTCATCACTTCTGACAGGTGGCAGTCCAGTCTCTTCTTGAAAGCCTCCAGTGAAGACCATTTAGTGACCATTCAAAGTTATGACGACATGGGGAAAAAAGGGGACTTGTGGCTGTTTTTCACACTTACGACCGTTGCAGCCTACTCATGGACACATGATCAGAATTCAGACGCTTGGCAACTGACTCAGATTTTTTTTTTTTTTAATTTGATTTATATGCCGCCCTTCTCTGGAGACTCAGAGCGGTTTACAATGCGTTAAGCAATAGCCTTCATACTTTTGTATATTTATACAAAGTCAGCTTATTGCCCCCACAAACTGGGTCCTCAATTTACCTACCTTAGAAAGGATGGAAGGCTGAGTCAACCTTGAGCCTTGGCGAGATTCGAACTTGCAGTAATTGCAGGCAGCTGAATGTTAATAACAGGCTATTAGCCAGCTGCGCCACCAGGCCCCCCTAGATTTATGACGGTTGCAGTGGCCTGGAGCCACGTGATCCCCTTTTTGCAACCTTCCGTCCAGCAAAGTCAATGGGGAAACCAGATCCGCTTAACAACCGTTTTATTAACTGTAGTGATTCATTTAACAACTTGTGGCAAGAAAGGTCGTAAAACGGGGCAACGTTCACTTGACGGATGTCTCACTTAGCCACTGAAATGTTGAGAGGGGGCCTCTTTACACAACTGTTTTCAGTAACCAGCAGAGCCTTTGATTAGCATTTCTATTTATTTGAAGTAGGCAAGTAAGAAATTGGCCAGAGACGAAAACTGCCCAGAAAGTCAATCTATCATTACTTGAAAACTCATAACATGAGAAATAAAATTCTTGAATATTCAATTAGTGAGCAAGATCATGCTATTATTGTGGGATAATATGAACATGGTACATATTGAACATTGCTCGCTAGATGCTTTATAACTCAGATTAGGCTATCCAATGAGAGTACACATTCCAAACTCAATGATTGAACTGTATGGTGGTTTCTCACTTTTCTAAGGATCTTCTCACTTTGGGAGACCTATCCTTATAAATAAATAAAGTGGTTTTCCGCCCTCTTAAAATATCATTGTTTTCATTCCAGCTGTAAGGTCCCAAAATACACTTGAGTCACCAGAATGCCAAAGAGAGAGAGACTCAAGACGAGGCTTGCAAAAAAAACCAGATTTTATTTATGGCCAAAAAGAAAATACTGAGTGGAACTATATCCAGAACATACAGATACAATGCATGCGAGGAGATAGCCACACCTTGGGGAAGTTTCCCCCTCTTAAATTATCATTGTTTCATTCCAGCCTTAACATAATTATTTTGAAAATGCATACAATTTGTATCCATCATAATAATACCCAAAGGTCCTATTTTTGTCTCAATCTTAAAGACATTTTCTGCCAATGGCCAGTTCTATTTGGCCTTCTAGTTGCATTTTTTCCCCCAAAGTTTTTCTTTTTTCCTTTTGGCTTCATTTTCCTGCCTTTTGTGAATTTTCTTATGCCTTCGAAGAGATGAACTCCAACCAAAACTTTTTCCGCACTCAGAGCACTTATGTGATTTTATCCCGGTGTGAATCTCCTCATGGGTCCGAAGGTCACAAATACGAACAAACTCCTTCCCACATTCCCTGCAGGTGTGAGGTTTCTCCCCTGTGTGAAACCTCTCGTGGATTTTTAGATATTCTTTGTAAGCAAAAGATTTCCCACACTCCAGACATTTATAAGGTTTTTCTCTGGTGTGGATGCGCTGATGCCTCAAAAGGCTGTCATTCCTGGAAAAACATTTACCGCACTCCAAACATTTCAGGGAAATCACTCCTATGTGCTTTATCTGGCTGTGTTTTCTAAGGGTCGACAAATAAGCAAATGCTGCCCCACAGTCTAAACATTTGTAATCTTTTCTTCCTTTGTGAACTTGCCTGTGACGTTTGAGGCCTCCTTTGCTATGAAAAAACATTCCACACTCGATGCATTGAAAGGGCTTCTCCCGCGAGTGAATCTTCTGATGTTGACAAAGGCCTCCCTTTACAAGGAAGCACTTCCCACACTCTGTGCACTTGTATGGTTTCCCCCCCGTGTGGGCATACTGGTGTGCACTAAGATATGTCTTGCAGGCAAAGCTTTTCCCACACTCTTCACATTGATGGGCTTTCTTTCCTCTGTGCCATTTCTGGTGTTTGCAAAGTGCCGAAAAATACAGAAATCCTCTCCCACATTCGGAGCATTTATAGGGTCTGTCGCCAGTATGAATTGTCTGATGTAGTATCAGGTATGTTTTGGTGGAAAAACATTTCCCACATTCTGGACACTCTTCCTTTTTCTCCCTCCTGTTTGTTTTCTTGTGACGCCAAAGAGATGATCGCTGGGCAATTTTTTCCCCGCATGCATTATAAGACTTGATTTCTTTGTGAACTTCCTCGTGGAGCCAAAGCTGTGATTTCTGAGCGAAGGCCTTCTTGCATTGGCCGCACTTGTAAAGTTTCTCTCCTATGTAGAATTGCAGATATTGAAGCAGCTCTGACTTCTGAGATAACCACGGTCTTTTCCACCACTTCCGGCATTCCTGAAGTCTCTTTCCCTGGTGGATTCGCTGATGGGCTCCAAGGTCCGAGCCTTTAGCAAAACGCTCCCTGCACTCTCCGCATTTGTAAGGCTTCAGTCCAGGGTGGCTCCGGAGATGTTTGGCAAAGCTCCACATTCCAGGAAAGGATTTCCCACATGTCAAACACAGGTGGGATCCATTCCCCGTGTGCAGCTTCCGGTGGATCAAAAGGAGGGACCGGTAGGTAAACGATTTCCTGCACTCGGAGCATGTGGAGAGTCCTTCCTGGTTCCTCTGAGGGGAACTCTGCTCAGTGGGTTTCCCCCCCTGCATTGTTTCCTGAAACTGCTCGCTTGAAGGGCTTTGCAGGTTGATGTTTGTCGAGAGGGATTTTTTTCCAGGTAGGTCCTGCTGGATGAAGGAAAAAGAGGTGAGGAATAGAGGAAGTTTCTTTCTCTTTCTGACCCCAAGTAGGCCAAACAATAGCTAGGAGATCCCTTACATCAGCCCTGGTGAGATTCCCAAAGCCTCCCCTCCCTTCAATCAAAGCAATGCTGGGATCCTCCTTGTGAAGCCGATCTGAGATCTCCCTTCCCCTTTCTTAGCAAGAGGGAAGCAATGGCCGACAGGAGTCCCTTTGCTCTCCATTTGCCTGTCTGAAGTGGGATGATCTCTGTCTTTTTCTTTCGCTCCGTTGGTGTGTGTGTGTGTGTGTGTGTGTGTGTGATGATGATATGTGAGACCCATTGTAATGATCCCCACAGGATGTGTCAGGTGGGTCCATACATGTGGACAGTATAACCTATGTACCGTATTTTTTGGAGTATAAGAAGCAGCTTAGTTTTTGGGGAGGAAATTAGGGGGGGGGGAATCTGCCTACCAGGTATTCATCTGGCTAGTGTCCTTAGTCTGGTCAGAACATTAGTTTGCTGGTTTTTATCCCGCTTGGGGATAAAAAACAGCTTCTAAGGCACAGCTGATCTTTGGAGAGAGAAGCAATGAGAAAAGCAGGCAAACCACGGAGATTTCTTCACTCGCTAGTGCCTCGTTAGCAGTGGTGAGTTGCTCCCAGTTCGCCTCGGTTTGCAAGAACCGGTAGTAAAAAATTGTAGTAGTTCAAAGAACTGGTAATTACATTGGCTGGCCACGCCACCGAACCTGTCCCCGGGCCGCTCGCTTACCCCGCCCACCTTATCAGAGGCTTTTTTTTTTCCTTTTAAAAGCATTTTTTCTACAACCTCTTCGGCCGAAAAAATGCTTTTAAAAGTAAAAAAAATAAGAGCCTTGATAGTACAGTGGTCTAAGCACCCTGTTATTAACACAGCTGCCTGCAATTACTGCAGGTTCGAATCTCTCCAAGGCTCAAGGTTGACTCAGCCTTCCATCCTTTCTAAGGTAGGTGAAATGAGGACCCAGTTTGTGGGGGCAATAAGCTGACTGTATAAATATACAAAAGTATGAAGGCTATTGCTTAGTGCATTGTAAGCCGCCCTGAGTCTCTGGAGAAGGGCGGCATATAAATCAAATTAAAAAAAAAAAAAAGGCTCTAATGATCGCGCGGCTCAGCTGGGGTTCGTCAGAGGCTTCTGAAAACATTTTTTCTGCAACCTCTTCGGCCAAAGAGGTTGTAGAAAAAAAAAATGCCTTTAAAAGCCTCTGGCGATCCTAGCTGAGTTGCCTGATTGTCAGAGGCTTCTGAAAGCATTTTTTCTGCAACCTCTTACGGTTGTAGAAAAGATGCTTTTAAAAGTTAAAAAAAAAAAAAAAGAGTTGGCCACGCCCACTCAATCACATTACCTCCCACCAAGCCACACCCACAAAATAAGCCACGCCCACAGAACCGGTAGTAAAAAAATTTAGAACCCACTCCTACTCGTTAGGGCTGAAAAAAAGCTTTGAAAAAGCTAAGTGTGTCTTATACTCTGAAAAATACGGTAGGTATTTGTGGACATTGTTCTTTGTTGACACAGATCAAGATGGCCTCCTCCTAAAATGGCTTCCCATGGTTTCTTTATGGTTTAGGGAGAGTGTACAGGTAGTCCTTGACTTACAACCATTTGTTTAGTAATCAATGTTACAACAGCGTTGAAAAAGTTACGTATGACCTGTTTTCACCTTTGTCCATGCAGCATCCCCACAGCCACGTGGTCAAAATACGAGCCCTTGGTAACTAGTTTGTATTTATGATGGTTGCACTGTCCCGGAGTTTGCAAACTTCCCAGCCAGCATCTGACCAGCAAAGACAATGAGGGAAGGCAGATCCATTTAACGACTGCATGATTCATTTTACAACTGCAATGATTTGCTTTAACAACTGTGGCAAAAAGGGCATGAAATGAGGCACGGCTCACTTAACGACTGCCTTACTTAGCAATGGTAATTTTGAGGTCTATTGTGGTCATAAGTCAAGGACTAACTGTACAGGTAGTCCTAAAAGTCCCAAGAAGTAACTGGAGTGTCTGGTTTTTCTTTTGAGGATGTTTTGCTTCTCATCCAAGAAGCTTCTTCAGTTCTGACTGGATGGTGTGGAATTGAAGGACTTATACTCCTTGCAGACAGCTGGTCATAAATCTTTCCATTCCCCACCCTCCAGTCAGAGCTAAAGAAGCTCCTTGGATGAGAAGCGAAACGTCTTCGAAGAAAAAATAAGAAAGTCCAGTTGCCATTTGGAAAAGCACCTTAGGGACAACCATGACCTGGATGACCGAGACTCTCCATAGACATGTACAGGTAGTCCTCCACTTACGACAAGTGAGCCCAAATTTTATGTTGCTAAGTGAGAAATTTGTTAAGTGAGTTTTGCCCCATTTTACGACCTTTCTTGCCACATTTGTTAAGCGAATCACTGCAGTTGTTATATTAGTCAAGTGAATCTGACTTCCCCATACACTTTGCTTGTCAGAAGAACTCAAAAGGGGATCATGTGACCCCGGGATGAGTCAGTTGTCCAGCATCCGAATATAAATCACATGATCATGGGGATGCTGCAACAGTCGTAAGTGTGAAAAAGGGTGATAAGTTATTTTTTTCAGTTTCGTTCTAACTTTGAATGGTCACTAAGCGAACTGTCATAAGGTGAGGACTATCTGTACATCTGCTCATCAAGGACTGTGAAGTTTTACGTTGTCCACCAGATGGTCTTACCTGCCCAGGCTTTGGACTCCGTCCTTATCCAGTTTCTTTTGGCTTAATGTATTGCATCCACCCAACCGCTGGAATTACCTCACCAGGTGTGGAAGCTTCACAAATCACAGTTAAACTAATCATGGTTTAGCTGAGGGATGTGTAACTTCTGGGATGAAGATCGATCCCAGCCTCGGAAAGTGTGCTAGAGGCAAACCCCAATTTTACATCATGGCCTTCATGTTTTAAGCAAATTAAATAGCATTAACATGGTTTTTCTGCATTCTTGAATTCATTCAGTGCTGCAATTTGAGATCAAGGCCACTGACCAACCTACATCTCCTCCTCTTCCTCTTTTTCTCCGCTCCCTTCTTCTCCCTTCTCTCCTTTAGACCAGGCTTGAAAACTTTGTGAAACACCCCTCAGTCAACCAGAGGCTCTGACATCACGGGCCTCTTTGGGGCCAAACAATGAAGCTATTGATTTACAGAAATTCCATCCAGTTTTGTCAAACAAAAACAAGAAAAATATCAAGAATTTAAAAAAGCAAGGATATTCATTTCCTCTCCTTCTAAGGTTAAGCACAAAGAGGATCCCTTCTGGGTTGGGAGAATCTGAGCGATTTGCTTTTGGGAATGAAGAAAGAAAACCAGAGAGAGAGAGAGAGGGAGGGAGGGAGGGAGGGAGGGAGGGAGGGAAGGAAGGAAGGAAGGGTTTTGCAGGATCCTTTTTGGGTTGGGAGAACCTGAGCAATTTGCTTTTGAGAATGAAGAAAGAAAGAGAAAGAGAGAGAGAGAGAAAGAAAGGAAAGAAAGAAAAAGAAAGAAAGAAAGAAAGAAAGAAAGAAAAGAAAGAAAGAAAGAAAGAAAGAAAGAAAAGAAAGAAAAAAAAAGAAAGAAAAGTTTTGCAGGATCCTTTCTGGGTTGGGAGAACCTGAGCAATTTGCTTTTGAGAATGAAGAAAGAAAGAGAAAGAGAGAGAGAGAGAGAGAGAGAGAGAAAGAAGAAAGAAAGAAAGGAAAGAAAGAAGAAAGAAAGAAAGAAAGAAAGAAAGAAAGAAAGAAAGAAAGAAAGAAAGAAAGAAAAAAAGAAAAAGAAAGAAAGAAAGAAAAGTGTTTTGCAGGATCCTTTCTGGGTTGGGAGAACCTGAGCAATTTGCTTTTGGGAATGAAGAAAAAAAAGGGAGAGAGAGAGAGAGAGAGAGAGAGAGAGAGAGAGAGAGAGAGAGAAAGAAAGAGAACACAGCTGCCTGCAATTTCTGCTGGTTTGAATCTCTCCAAGGCTCAAGGTTGACTCAGCCTTCCATCCTTTCTAAGGTAGGTGAAATGAGAACCCAGTTTGTGGGGGCAATAAGCTGACTTTGTATAAAACATACAAAAGAATGAAGGCTATTGCTTAACGCATTGTAAGCCGCCCTGAGTCTCCGGAGAAGGGCGGCATATAAATCAAATTAAAAAAAAAAAAAGAAAGAAAGAAAGAAAGAAAGAAAGAGAAAGAAAGAGAAAAAGAAAGAAAGAAAGAAAGAAAGAAAGAAAGAAAGAAAGAAAGAAAGAAAGAAAGAAAGAAAGAAAGAAGAAATCCTTTTGCAGGATCCAATCTGGGTCGATCCCCAGGACCAGAGGGGTTTGTCTTCGGACTTCGAACTTCTCTCCAGCTGTGTGTGTGTGTGTGTGCGTGCGCTGTTCTGTACATGGTATTTATAGTGCCTGTTGTGGTGTGGCTTTTTTAGATGGGGGATTGGGTCGCCTTTTCAGCCGTTAAGTGTCCTTTTTTTCTCTCGCAGCGCATCTGAATTTCATCCTTGTTTGTTCTGCAACCCCGGCTCCAATCGGGACCCCAAATGAGTCTCCCAAAATGAACCTTTCCGTTTTTTAGCACCACCCGATCGAAAAGAAAAAAGCCCATGATTTCCTGCCGTTGCCATGTCAGTGCTCTCTAAAGAGGCTCAAGCTACAGGTCAGCTAGCTAGCTAGCTAATTTGTTATTCTTTTTCTTTCTTTCTTTCTTTCTTTCTTTCTTTCTTTCTTTCTTTCTTTCTTTCTTTCTTTCTTTCTTTCTTTCTTTCTTTCTTTTCCTTCCTTCCTTCCTTCCTTTCTTTTCCTTCCTTCCTTCCATCCTTCCTTCCTTCCTTCCTTCCTTCCTTCCATCCTTCCTTCCTTCCTTCCTTTATTGCAAGTGCGCTTGAAGGCCGGAAGGGATGGGGGTGAGTGGAAAGTACGCTGATGATACTCAGCTTTATATTTCCACCCCGAACCAACCCAGTGATGCCCTCGATGTGATGGCCCGGTGCCTGGAAGCGGTACGGGTCTGGATGGGTAGAAGCAAATTGCAACTCAACCCGGCCAAGACCGAGTGGCTGTGGGTACCGGCATCTCGGTTCAGGGGAGAGGTGCCATCGCTGACTATAGGGGGTGAAGTTTTGCGCAACTTGGGTGTCCTTCTGGATTCACGGTTGAGCTTAGAAGACCAGATAACGACCGTGACCAGGGGGGCATTCGCCCAGATACGTCTGGTGCGCCAGTTGCGTCCCTACTTGGACCGAGATGCCCTACGCACAGTTACGCATGCGCTGGTCACCTCACGGATTGACTACTGCAATGCTCTCTACATGGGGCTGCCCTTGAGGACCACTCGGAGGCTTCAGCTGGTGCAGAATGCAGCTGCGCGGGTTGTGATGGGAGAATCCCGATACTCCCAAGTTACACCCCTCCTGCGCTGTTTACATTGGCTACTGGTTAGCCTCCAGGTGAGATTCAAGGTGCTGGTGTTGACCTATAAAGCCCTACATGGCTTAGGACCAGGATATTTGGCGGACCACTTACAGCCAGCAACGATATCCCATCGCCCGGTTCGCGCCCATAGAGAGGGCCTACTCAGGGTGCCGTCGGCTAGACAGTGGCGGCTGGCGGCCCCCAGGGGTAGAGCCTTCTCGGTTGGGGCGCCCACCCTCTGGAATCAACTCCCCTTGGAGCTCCGACTAGCGCCTGACCTTCGCACCTTCCGCCGGGAATTAAAAACTTGGCTTTTCAAATCCCTTGACCTGGTCTGATGATGGGGTTTTAATTGGTTTTAAGGGTTAATTTTAAATTTTTTTAGATTTTAGTCTTTATTTTTATTGTGGCTTGTGTTTTATTGTTGTGAGCCGCCCTGAGTCCATTGTGAGATAGGGCGGCATATAAGCCGAATAAATAAAGGATCCCTACCTGGCAGAAGCGGGAAGCTTCCTCCGAAGGATTCAGCGCCGATGCAGGGAGAGGATCATTTCGGGGGAAGGCAGCAGAGACACAACCCAGATGGCTTTCAGCGGCCGAATGGGCGAGAAGAGGAGGGCGCGTGGCTTGGGGGGGGGGGGGGGGGAAACCCCCCCGGGCCCCCCCCCCCCCGGGCCCCCCCCCCCCCCCCCCGTCCGCTAAAAAGCCCCCCCCACATTGGCCAGCGGGGAGAAGTTTGGCCCCGCCCATTCCCCCCTCCTCGCGAGTTCTCTAACCTGTTCCCCCCCCACCCCCCCAATCCAGGTATTCTATCCCAAGCTGGGCGCCTTTTCCATGCAAATGAGGCGACGCGGAAGGAACGTTCTAATCTGGGCGTTCGGGAAGGTGTGTAGGGTGGGGGGAGATCACGGATCGTTCTTTCTGGCTTCAGTCCCCGGTTGAGGACAGGAGTGAAATCCAGCAGGTTCTGAAGAACCGGTAGCGGACGTTTTGAGCAGTTCGTAGGAGAACCGGCAAATACCACCTCTGGCTGGCCACAGAGTGGGGGTGGGAATGGAGATTTTGCAATATCCTTCCCCCAGGAGTGGGGAGGGAATGCAGGTTTTGCAATATCCTTCCCCCCAGGAGTGGGGAGGGAATGGGGATTTTGCAGTATCCTTCCCCTTGGAGTGGGGTGGGAATGCAGATTTTGCAATATCCTTCCCCCAGGAGTGGGGAGGGAATGGGGATTTTGCAGTATCCTTCCCCCAGGAGTGGGGGGAATGGGGATTTTGCAGTATCCTTCCCCTGGAGTGGGGTGGGAATGGAGAGTTTGCAATATCCTTCCCCCAGGAGTGGGGAGGGAATGGGGATTTTGCAGTATCCTTCCCCTGGAGTGGGGTGGGAATGCAGGTTTTGCAATACCCTTCCCCCCAGGAGTGGGGAGGGAATGGGGATTTTGCGGTATCCTTCCCCTGGAGTAGGGTGGGAATGCAGATTTTACAGTATCTTTCCCTTGCCACGCCCACCAAGCCACACCACACCCACCAAGCCACGCCCACAGAACCGGTAGTAAAAAAAATTTGGATTTCACCACTGGCTAAGGACAGGGTGGGGTGGTGGGTTTGAAGTCGGACTCCTTCACGCTGGGCAGGATTCACCCCTCGCCCCCCCCCATCTTGTGCGAGAAGAGATTCCACATACACACATACCGGCAAGGGGAAAGGTAGCTCTGAATTGTACATTTCTGCTTGAAACGTTTTTTGCTGGATCGTTTGCAAAAAAAACTAAGAGGCTGTTGTGTAATATTATATAATATATATTATATATTAATATTTAATAAAGGAGGAGGGAGGAAGAGGAAGGAGGACAAGGAGGGGAAGAGGAGGAAGAGAAGAAAAAGGGGAGGAGGAGGAGGAAGGAGAAGAGGAAGACGAAGGAAAAAGGAGGAGGAGAAAAGGAGGTCTCAGGATGGCTTAAGGTAAAGGTTCCCCTCACACATATGTGCTAGTCGTTCCCGACTCTTATAAGATGGTTTATAAGGACATAAAAACACAATATGAAAAAATAAAAATAAAACAATAACTCCCCACACCCCAACAATCAATGTTGTCTCCATCCCATACCAAGATCTCAATCCTGACTAGAAAAGATAGTTCTTTTCTAGATAGCTGTATAGCTCAACAGACAGAGCACTGTAATTTAACACCAGCTGCCTGCAATTAAAGTAAGTTCGAATCTTGCCAGGCTCAAGGTTGACTCAGCCTTCCATCCTTTCTAAGGTAGGTAAATTGAGGACCCAGTTTGTGGGGGCAGTAAGCTGACTTTGTATAAATATACAAAAGTATGAAGGCTATTGCTTAACGCACTGTAAGCCACCCTGAGTCTCCGGAGAAGGGCGGCATATAAATCAAATTAAAAAAAAAAAAAAGATCAAGATACAGGTAGTCCTCGATTTACAACAGTTCATTTAGTGACCGTTCAATTACAACGGGACTGAAAAAAAGTGACTTATGACTTTCACACTTAATGACCAATGCAGTATCCCCCGTTGGAAAAAAAATTCCCTGGTTCGTTCCCAGCTGGGACACAACACAGACGCTGAGAAGAAATGGATGCAGAAGCCAGCTGCCAGAAAGTAGGATTCTTTTAATGTAGGAAAGCAAGAAGCAAAAAGTGACACAGCTTCAGGGTTCCTGAATTGCAGATTGGGGGAGGTAAAGCCATGCCTTCTTATACTTGATTTTCTTTGTATGCCTAGAGGGGATGAATGCTTCTGTTAAAGTAATTGCCCTGGATCCTGTCTTCCTGCCTTAATGGGTTATCCTGTCCCAGGACTTTTGTCTTTTCTATCCTGGGGGTTAATCCTATCAAGGGGCAGGAAAAAGGGAGTTTCAGTTTATTTTGGAGAGTTTATTTTTAGCCTGATTCCCCTTATCTTAATGGCTCTACTTAAGTGTTTCTATTACTTTTCTGTTACTTTTGTAACAGCCCTCAGCACTGCTGCTCTGAATTTTCCTTTCAGCTGGTGCTTCTTGGTTTTCTTAAAGGGGGAAGGACTGGGTTGAGTCTCTTGGCCCTGTTTTCTGAGGTTTCTGGCACTGTCTTTTTTGGGTGTACTTCCCACACCAATAATCACAAGATCAAAATTCAGACCTTGACAACTGACTTCTATTTATGACGGTTGCAGTATCCTGGGGTCATGTCATCCCCTTTTGCGACCTTCTGACAAGCAACGTCAATGGGGAAGCCATATTCACTTAACAACCGTGTGACTAACTTAACAACTTGCAGTGACTCACTCAACAACTGTGCCAGTTTTAGAACCCAGGACCTAGGTTATAACTTTCAGTTATTGTCCACCTCACAATGGCAAGAAACTTCTCTATCATTGTCCTCCATGCTTTCTCTCAATCTTTGGATGTACAGAGATTCTCACCGTCACTGGCAGTTTCAAGAAACATTAAAATTTCAAAGTAACGTAATGAGACGATTGGATTTTGCCCACAAACCGAGAAAAATATTTGAGCCCACTGCTATGTTTCTTTTAACTCAGGGCCAATTTTCACTCAGTAGCTTATAAACAATTTGAAGGGCCCTCAGTGCAGGGGTGAAATGCTCCCGGTTCGGACCGGATCACCCGATCCGGTAGCGAAGGAGGTGGGCGGTTCGGTAGCAAAAATCCCTGCCCACCCCCCCATGCCCAGCTGAGCTGCACAATCATCAGAGGCTTTTTTTTTTTTTACTTTTAAAAGCATTTTTTCAGCCGAAGAGGTTGTAGAAAAAATGCTTTTAAAAGTAAAAAAAAAAAAAAGCCTCTGATGATCGCGCGGCTCAGCTGGGATCGTCATTTAAAAGAAAAAAACCCCTTTTTTTCTTTTAAATGCCTCTTGCCTGATCGTCAGAGGCATTTAAAAGAAAAAAAGCCTCTGTCGATCAGGCAACTCATCTGGGATCGTCATAACCTTTTGGAAGCATTTTTTTACAACCTCTTCACCAAGGAAAAAATGGTTTTAAAAGTTAAAAAAAAAAAAAACGGCCACACCCACCCAGTCACATTACCCCCGCCACCACCAAGTCACGCCCACAGAACCAGTAGTAACAAATTTTAGATTTCACCACTGCCTCAGTGGGCCTTTTCTCCTGGTGACACTTAAATTTTGTTTCACGCCCCTTAAGGAGTGAGCATATTTGAACTCTTCGGAACCTCCACCCGTCATCAAATGTACCTTTAGATGCCTTCAGAACAGCTTTCCTGTCCGGGGGCTTCAGAGTTGCTGGATCACAACTCCCATCAAATCCAGCCGGCAAGACATTATGGGAATAGAAACCCAGCCTAACTCATATCAGAGCAATTCCATTTAGTGAATGCAAGCAAGCCTCCTTGTGGCAAGACACACAAGACGCACAAAGAAACACACCGCTGGCCGCTATATACAGAATGTAATTTTATTTACTCAGCAATCCAAAATAATTCTCTTTCTGAGATACAAAAATAATTAGAAGCATTTAGAGCAGCACCCAGGTTTAAAAACCCGGAAGGCAAAGCAGGATTTCAACAGGTCAGTCAAATGAGAGCCAGGAGACCCCTCTCTGGCCGCCTTGCCCCAGCTGTTTTCTACATCTGCAGAACACCAGCGTGGGAAAGGCCATTCTGGGAAATAACTGGCCACATTCAGTTGAAAAGAATTGAGTGGAGGAGGAGGAGGAGGAGGAGGCCACTTTGTAGAAAACGATGTTTTTTTTTTTTTAACCTTGGCAACTTTTAAGATGCGTGGACTTCAACTCCCAGAATTCCCCAGCCAGCATGCTGGGAGTTGAAGCCCACGTATCTTAAAAGTTGCCAAGGTGGAAAACCTGTGATAGAAACAGATACGTTAGCTTTCTGATTAATTTTTTGGGAACTGCTGCTCAGCCAGGAAAGCAGGGCTGCCTTCATAGCCGTTTCCATCACGTAGGGGCCTTCTTGGTAGCGACCTCCCACTTCTGGAACCTTCCACAAAATCAGGTATGAACTGCCACTGCCCTACTGTCTTTTCAGGATGCAGATGGCACATATGTATCTATTACATACATATATTACATTTAAATACCTTGGCCTTTCTAAGGTGCACAAAAGATTGCAGCCCCTTCCCCCCCCCACATAATTTATCCTCACAGTCACAAAAAGCGCAATTAAGGCTTAAGAATTGTGATGGCCAAGATCAACTAAGCTATAATCTAAATTATAAATATATCTTTAGGATGAAGAACTTATCTTTCCGCCCCAAATCTTGTCCATGTGTTTCTCAGTCAGCTGCTTTCAAAGAATGTTTCTGAAGCTTTTGAGGGCATGAAACTGAGAAAGGCAGATTGAGAGTGTTACATATGGTCCCTTTTAAGGGTTTATTTTCTTTTTTAACTGTATGATTCAAAATCACTCGGAGAGTTTGGCGGATAGCAGGAAGTTAAGATGCAGAAGGCAGGAAAATGAACATTCTGAAAAGCTTTTGTTTTGTGCCTCATTTATCTTGATTGTAATTCCTAGAAAGAAATTTAAAATCACATTTTATTTTCTGGTTCATCGGTTCTCATAGCAACATACCCAGCCTTTTCCTTCTTTGTTGCCTTCACAACCATCTGGCTAACAGCTGGAGAGAGGAAAAAAGTGGCTGAAGCTTACTTAAAAAGGTTGACTCAGCCTTCCATCCTTTCTAAGGTAGGTAAATTGAGGACCCAGTTTGTGGGGACTTTGTATAAAAAAATATACAAAAGTATGAAGGCTATTGCTTAATGCATTGTAAGCCGCCCTGAGTCTCCGGAGAAGGGCGGCATATAAATCTAATTTAAAAAAAAAAAGATCTTGTAAAAGTTAGGAAAGGATTTAAAACCAGGATTGGCTACACTAGAGTCCTGTTCACACAACATGCTTAATTGAGCCACGGAGGCAAAATATCTGATGAACAGAAAACTGCAATTTGAAGGTATTTGGAATGTCTGCTTAAAGATGCTGGATATTTGAATGATCTATAGCAGTGATGGCTAACCTTTTTGCCATCGCAAACCGGGGCGGGGGGTGGCGTATGCGCGTGTGCCCACACCCATAATTCTATGCACCCTGCCCCCGCGCATGCACACGCAACCCTCCACACTCCCCACACTCCTGGCATAGTAGATCCGTTTTTTGCTCTCCCCAGACCCTTTCTAGGAGTCTAGGGAGGGTGAAAATTACCCCCCCCAAGGCCCTCTGGAGGCCGGAAATGGCCTATTTGCCAACTTCTGGTGGGACCGGAACGTACGTTTTTTGCTGTCCGCGGCCTCCAGAGCCTTTCTAGGAGTCTGGGGAGGGCGAAAATGGCCTTCCCCACCACCACCCCAAGGCCCTCTGGAGACAGGAAAAAGCCTGTTTCCCTACTTATGATGGGCCCAGAAGGCCTGAAAATCAGCTGGCCAGTGCGCACATATGTGCTGGAGCTGAGTTCACATGCCCACCAATATGGCTACGCATGCCACTCGTGGCACGGGTGCCATAGGTTCGCCATCATGGATCTATAGCCATGGACTGAAATATAGTGGGTTGAAACTTGGAATTCTTATAAATACCATTTTTAAGGGGTCCTTGGTGCTCTCTGAGCTTGGTTGTTTTCTTGCAGGCATTTTATTACCCAGCTTGGTAACATCATTAGTGCTAAAAGAAAGTGAGGTTTACTCTCTGGTTTTATACTAGTGGCTTGCCCTGACAGTGTTGAGGGTTTTTGGTGATTCCTTTAAAAATGTTTTCTGTCTGAGAGAATAAGAATTATTCCTGTAAAGAATATAGCCTAAGTAACTCCATATTAACCCTTTACATAACCTAAGCTATTAAGCTTTGTAAGATATGTAGAAAAGGGAAGTGTGTATGACGTCTGTTTTGAGGAAACAGAGATTTTAAAAAAACAGTTTTTTAAAATCTCACAGAGAACAACGACCGGGGTCTTGGCGAATCAAAAAAGAACTTACCCAAACTTTAGTGTCTCAGTGTGGACGATCCAGCTCTATACAGTAGTTTGCACAAGAAATAACTTGCCATCCACACTTATCTGAAAAAGTGAAAATCAGTAAAATTTATGCTGATCGTGAAACAGGGAGACTTTAATTTCAGCAGAAAAAAAATTAAAATCTGGCTGATCTCCAGCAGTCTGTTCTCCCAAGGAAGCCCACCAATCTCTTAGCAGAGGGCCTTCAGAAGCCATCAAGACTAATAGCCACTGATCCTCAGGTCTTCCAGAATCTGACCCTAAGTCAATAAATTGGTAGCCGCCTGCAGTTTTCTTGGCAAGATTTCGGAAGTGATTTGCCATTGCCTGCTTCCTAGGGCTGAGAGAAAGGGACTGGCTCAGAATTACCTAAGTGGCTTTGTGCCAAAGGCGAGACTGGGACTCATGGTCCCCTGCCTAGAAACCAGGAGACTGTGAGTTCTAGTCCATCCTTAGGCATGAAAGCCAGCTGGGTGACTTTGGGCCATTTACTTTCTCTCAGCCCAGCCCACCTCACAAGGTTGTTGCTGTGGTGGAAACAAGAGGAGGAATGTGTATTATTTATGTTTACCGCCTTTTTTATTCATTACATTTATATGCTGTCCATCTCGCCTTCTGAATTATTATTTTATAAAATAATAAAGGCAGGATAAAAACCTAATAAACATATTAAAGTGGCTTTCTTTTGCACATGAGATCCTGCAAAATTTATTTAAGACCTACCAGATTTCAGATGTTTATTTGTTTAAGAAATCTATACACTTGCTTCGGTCCATCGGAACTCTAGGCAGCTTTATAGGGTGCATAGTAAAATAACAACAACTCCAATCCTGATCACAATTTTATATTCAATAAAATAAAATAAAACTACCATATATACTCAAGTATAAGCCGAGTTTTTCAGCACATTTTTTATGCTGAAAAAGCCCCCCTCGGTTTATACTCGAGTGAGGGGGGGAAAAATGCCTTTAAAAGCCTCTGGCGATCCCAGCTGAGTTGCCTGATTGTCAGAGGCTTCTAAAAGAAGCACTTGCAGAGCTAGTTTACTGTTTTTCTTTGAAATAAATATTCAAAAACATTTAACCTACTGATGCCTCAATTAATGTAATTTTATTGGTATTTATTTTTATTTTGAAATTTACCAGTAGCTGCTGCATTTCCCACTCTAGGCTTATACTCGAGTCAATACGTTTTCCCAGTTTTTTGTGGTAAAATTAGGTGCCTCGGCTTATATTCGGATCGGTTTATACTCGAGTATATACGGGTAAGTTGTTGACTCCCTAATCTATCCACAAAAGACCTCAGAAAAATCAGTTCTTTACGACTTTGGGGAAGGCCATAAATATAGGGGCCACCTTTACCTGGTGTTCCATAGACAGGAACCCTCTCTACTGAAATCCTCAACCAGTGGCCTCCCTCCCCTCGCATTTGAGCAGGTATTCTACCACTCAAGATTGGGCAGGCAAGTTTTATCAGGCAAACATAGATAGCCAGCCCTTCAGACTGTATCACTCAGGTTGGGTAAAGGGGATGAAAGACCCTCACCCTGATTCAAAGTAGTTTACTCTCAAGAGAGGTACCTGTTGCTTATGTTTCTGAACGTATCATTTAATATTTACAAATCTAGGCAACTAATATTAGGAAATTGTAAAATTAGGAAACCAGGCTGCATTTACAATTGTCTGTGCATCCTGCAGTCGTGTGACTATATTTTACAACACACTTACTTTCATTTTTCGGCAAAACCATGCCCATAGTGAACCATTGGTTCACTTAATGACCGTGGCATTCATTTAACTACCACCGCGAAACAGGGTCATAACCATTTTACAAGCATCACGACTTATGAGAAGGATGAGCAGGCTCCATTACAGTCATAAGTTAAGGTAAAGGTTCCCCTCACATATATGTGCTAGTCATTCCCAACTCTAGGGGGTAGTGCTGATCTCCGTTTCAAAGCCAAAGAGCCAACGCTGTCCGAAGACATCTCTGTGGTCATGTGGCCGGCATGACTAAACGCCAAAAGCGCACGGAACGCTGTTACCTTCCCACCAAAGGTGGTCCCTATTTTTCTACTTGCATTTTTTACATGCTTTCGAACTGCTACGTTGGCAGAAGCTGGGACAAGTAACGGGAGCTCACCCCGTTACGCGGCGCTAGGGATTCGAACTGCTGAGCTGCCGACCTTTCAATCGACAATCTCAGTGTCTTTAACCATTGAGCCATGGCGTCCCTAGTTATAAGTTCAAAGGAGGCAATCGCTAAACAAGGACCACCTCTAATAAGAAATACTTCAAGGTTGAACTATTGAACCGTTGATGATTTCCAAGCTTGGCTGTGAACTCTGAACTGTTACTAGGGTTTTATTAGAAGATTTACTCCCCCACCCCCCCAAGAAAAATAAGCCCGTTTCCTTCTTACCACAGCAGTGCTTATGGCCTCCATAGAAAGTTCAGCAAGTTCTGCAGGGTCAGAGGTTTCAACCAGCAATTCTGAACATTCAGGGCAGCAGGGTAGGTGAGTGGGTGGGAAAAGAAGAAACAGATTGGTTAAAAGATGAAAAGCCAAAAGGAATTGTTAGGAAATGGTTATTTGTCTAACTAGCGGGTCAGGCAATATATAAACCAACAATATATATTTGCAGTCAGAAAGGTATTATATTGCTTTAAGACTGTATTGCATCATCCTATATCCTGATTGGCTAAGCTCTGTAGCCAATGTACTTAAGGGAAGTCAGGATCATGGCTTGTGTGGATACGACACCATTTTACCTGCTTATTCTTAAATACTTGGGAGCAGTGCTTCTCAAACATGTCGACTTTAAGACACGTGGACTTCAACTCCCAGAATTCCAATTCTGTCAGTTTATGCTCCCGTGTCTTAAAGTAGCCAAGTCTGGGAAACACTGACTTTTTTTTTTTTTTAATTTGATTTATATGCTGCCCTTCTCCGGAGACTCAGGGCGGCTTACAATGCGCTAAGCAATAGCCTTCATTCTTTTGTATATTTATACAAAGTCAGCTTATTGCCCCCACAAACTGGGTCCTCAATTTACCTACCTTAGAAAGGATGGAAGGCTGAGTCAACCTTGAGCCTTGGCGAGATTCGAACCCTGCAGTAATTGCAGGCAGCTGGTCTTAATAACCAGCTTAATAACAGGGTGCCTTAGACCACTGTACTACCAAGGCTCTTAAGACTTAAGAGCCTTCAGCTCTTCATAATTGAGGTTTGCGAACTATTATGCCTTGTGTTTCATGAGGACGCAAGGAACGTCTTTAGACCCAGAAATAGAGCATTTCTACGGAATGCACGGCACAGATTTGGACATCTATGGAGATTCTCAGTCATTCAGGTCATGGGTGTCTGGATGGTGGGGAATGGAAGGATTTATACTCCTTGCAGACAGTTGGGTCATAAATCCACCATCCAGTCAGAGCTGAAGAAGCTTTTTGGATGAGAAGCGAAACATCTTCAAATAAAAACCAGAAAGTCCAGTTGCCTCTTGAAAAAAGCACCTTTGGGACCCAGATTTGAACGGACTCTTTTTCCGGGCATGGAAGATATGGCGGGCAGAGCCTTCCACACACAATGGCTGCATCTTGCCTGCTGGATGGGAATGGGAATGTGAGGGGTTCCAGTCCCAACACATGTGAAAGGTGCCAGATTGGGGAAGGAAAAGAAGCTGCAGCACAAGGAAACAACGATCAATGGCGTAATAGCTGGCCATAAATACGATTCATAGAATATCCCAAAAGCACACATTCTGGTAGAGGACAGGCTCTAACACGAGTCCCAAAGCACGGAAGGCTAAACCTCTGGTCCCGGGGACTGACCCAGATTGGATCCTGCAACATTATTCCTGGGACAAATGTACAGGTAGTCCTCGACTTACGACCACAATTGAGCCCATTGCAGTTGCTAATTAGTGCAGGTAGTCCTCGACTTACGACCACGAGCCCATTTACCGAATTAGTACATGTAGTCCTACTTATGACCACAATTGAGCCCATTGCAGTTGCTAAATTAGTACAGATAGTCCTCAACTTACAACAGTTCATTTAGTGACCATTCAGTTACAACGGCACTGAAAAATGTGACTTACGATCAGTGGTGAAATGTAAAATTTGTTACTACCGGTTCTGTGGGTGTGGCTTGGGGGCTTAATGTGACTGGGTGGATGTGGCCACTTTTTTAAAAAAAAACTTTTAAAAGCATTTTTTCGGCTGAAGAGGTTGTAAAAAAATGCTTTTAAAAGCCTCTGACGATCCCATCTGAGCTGCGGCATCATCATCAGCTTTTTTTTTTAACTTTTAAAAGCATTTTTTCGGCTGAAGAGGTTGTAGAAAAAATGCTTTTAAAAATAAAAAAAAAGCCTCTGATGATCGCACGGCTCAGCTGGGCATGGGGGGGGGGCAGGGATTTTTGCTACCGATTCTCTGAACCACCCGCTGCCATCGCTACTGGATCAGGTCATCTAGTTCGAACCAGGAGCATTTCACCCCTGCTTACGACCATTTTTCAGTTATGTCCTTTACAACATTCCCATGATAATGGCATCAAAATTCAGGTGCTTGGCAGCTGGTTCATATTTTTAAATGTTATCTAATTCTGGGTTTTATTTGATTGACCAAACTAAGTAATAATTTTAATTAGCAATTTTATGATGTTTGTGTGTCTATATTTTTCTTGACTGTACACCGCCTTGAGTCCTACGGGAGAAAGGCGGTATAGAAATATAATAAATAAATAAATAAATATTTATGACTCTTGCTGTGTCCCAAGGTCATCTGATCATATTTTGCAACTTTCTCACACGTAAAGTCAACAGGGAAGCCAGATACACTTAACAACTGGGCTACTAACTTATCAATTGTAGCGATTCACTTAGCAACTGTGGCAAGAAAGTTCGTAGAATGGAGCAAAAGCTCACTTAACAAATGTTTCACATAACAACAGAAATTTTGGGCTTATCTGCGGTTGTAAGCCGAGGACTACCTGTAACATGATTGTTAAGTAAATCTGGCTTCCCTATTGACTTTGCTTGCCAGAAGGTCGCAATAGGGGATCACGTGTCCCGGGACACTGCCATTGTCATAAATGTGAGTCAGTTGTGAAGCATCCGAATGTGACCATAGGGATACTGCGACAGTCATGTGAAATACAGTCACAAGTCACTTTTTTCAGTGCCGTTGTAACTTCGAACGGTCACTAAACGAACTGTTGTAAGTCGAGGACTATCTGTATTTGCCTTCATTCGTGAGGTGGTTAATACAGGGTAGTCCTCGACTTACAACTGTTCATTTAGTGACTGCTCAAAGTTACAGCGGTACTGAAAAATGTGACTTTTATCATGGTTTTACCCACAACCGTTGCAGCATCCCTTGGTCATGTGACCAAAATTCGGATGCTTGGCAACCGGTTCATATTTATGACGGTGGCCGTGTTCCCGGGGTCAGGCGATCAGCTTTTGTGACCTTCGGACAAGCAAAGTCAATGGGGAAGCCAGATTCCCTTACCAACAGCATTGCTAACTTAACAACTGCAAGTGATTCATTTAACAACTGAGGCAAGAAAGGTCGTAAAATAGCCACAGCAAGAGCACTTAGGCTTATATACCGCTTCACAGTGCTTTTTACAGCCCTTTCTAAGCCGTTTACAGAGTCAGCTTATCCAGGGGTGGGTTCTAAAAATTTTTACTACTGGTTTTGTGGGTGTGGCTTATTTTGTGGGCGTGGCTTGCGGGTCATGTGACAATTCTTTAGGATTGAGCAGAGGTACTGGTCTACCAGGCTTTTAACTGCTTGCAGAGCTGTACCAGTTTACTCATTTATTTTTGCAGGCACCGGTCTACCATCACCTGCCTTTTAACACTGATCAGCTGTAGGGCGGCCCTTTGAAACCCCACGGCAAGAGTTTAAACATTTTTTTCGTTCTAGCCAATCAGCTGGCTAGCAGGAGGCAGCAATAGATTGGGGGCAGGAGGCAGCAATAGATTGGGGGTGGGGCCAAATAAAAGGTAAGAATAACGTGGGGCGGGGGGGGCAGAACCGGTTCAGTGACGTCATATTGTCACCGCTACCGGCTCGGTGGAACCGGGCCAAACCGGGAGGAACCCACCACTGAGCCTATTGCCCCCCCAACAATCTGGGCTCCTCATTTTACCCACCTCAGAAGGATGGAAGGCTGAGTCAACCTTTGAACCTGGTAAGATTCGATCTGCCAAACTGCTGGCAGGCAGTGATCAGCACAAGTAGCCTGCAGTACTGCACTCTAACCACTGCGCCAACGCGGCTCTTAATGTTTCACTTAGCAACATAAATCTTGGGCTCCACTGCGGTTCCAAGTCGAGGACTACCTGCATGGTCACATTAAAGGACACACTGTTGTGGCCTGTCAGCGGCCTGTGCGGATTGTAGCTGATTCCGACGAGGAGGCTGGTGTGGTGCTGCGCCAGCAGCCTTTGCAGCTGGCGCTCGAGTCGGACAGTGAGGAGGCTGGAGAAGATGTGGTGCCAGAGGCAGGGATTCAGCCAGGGCCTTCAGAACCTCCAGAAGCTCCTTTAAGTGAAGAGGCTGAAGTGGAGGAGCCTCTTCTCAATGCACGGGCACGCAGAGCTGTCAAAAGGCAGGAGTGGCTCCTCAGGAGGAGGTCTCCTCGAGAGTAAGGCTTGGAGCTAATTGGCCACTCCCTTAGCCTATTTAAGGAGGAACGCCGCTTGCAACAAGCTGTAGGGAACAACTTTAGTTCACTCTCCTTCGCGTCTGGATTCTCTGCAAAATTGCTTCTGGGCTTTCTGCCAACTCTAATAAGACTGATTACCTTATCTCAGAATTCTTGTAGGCTGTTAAGATAGTTTATTAACAGCCTTTGGTTGATAAAGACTGAGTTATTTGAGTAAAATAAGCTTTGTATAGAGTTTGTGTGTGTTGCGTTCTTTGGGGTCCGTAGCTGGGGCAGAACACACACCCCCTCCATACCTTAAAGGCTATCACTTCGCAGATGTCAATGCTGTCCAGCCTTTCATGACAGAAGGGGAGACTTGGGGGCGAATAAGAGAAGGTTTTGTTTTTTTTAACAGGGATGAGGCATTTTAACCGTAAAACCAATTACCTAAAGCAGTGGCGGGCTCTTCTTCAGTGAAGATCTTCATCTCTTCAGAAGGATCCATCTCTGGATTTTCTGTTAAGGAAGAACAGTTCAGACAGGATGGCCCATCAAGCCTCCCCCAATTCAGATTATCCCCCAGTTCAGATTATCTCAAAAGTTTTTACCTCTCCCCATAATCCATTTCTCAAAGAACACTTTACCTCCGGGAAATTCAAAAGCCAGTGCTGAAGGCCGGAGCCTTTTTCCTGAGGTGGAATGCAACATTGTGAAGCTGCCTAGATGGGGCAGAACCCATCCCCTCAAAAGCCAAAGTGTGTAACCTTAGGGGAGAGTGCAATAGCACTTAGCAATAAGAACTTAGACTTATATACCGCTTCACAGTGCTTTTACAGCCCTCTCTAAACCGTTTACAGAGTCAGTATATTGGCCCCCAACAATTTGGGTCCTCATTTTACCCATCTCAGAAGGATGGAAGGCTGAGTCAACCTTGAGCCTGGTGGGATTTGAACTGCCAAATTGCAGGCAGCCAGCGGGCAGCGGAAGTAACCTGCAGTACTGCACTTTAACCACTGCGCCACCGTGGCTCATGAGTGTTGTGTTTTGTTTCTGAATTGTGTCTTTGGGACTGGACAAGCTAGGATAGAGAAGACGGCAGCAGTCCGTCTCAAAAAAGGACATTGGGTTTCATTTAATGTAGATGTGCAGTAGTTGAAAATTTAAGAGTGTTTGCTTTATTACTCCATTTTTACAAATGGGGCAGGATTTGTATTGATGTCTGATATACACTGCTTGTCATTTGGCTTTCTTCACCTTCCCTGTGGATTTAACCAGCCAATGAGCAAGATAAACTCATTTCCCTTCCCTGAATGTGTTCCAATGGAGACCGGACAACTAACTATCTGGATTCCTGCACTGAGAAGGAGGTAGGTCTGGATTCCTAAGCTGCTGTGGTCTAGAGGTGGAGCTCTTGCCTCACAATCAGGAGGTTGTGAGTTCGATCCTAGGTAGAAATAGATGTAGAGGTCTCCTGCTTTGGCACGGGGTTGGACTAGATGGCCCTGCAAGGTCCCTTCCAACTCTGTTAATCTGTTAAGAGGATGGCCTCACTGGATTCTACATCCTCTCTCTCTCTCACTGGGCCAGGGTAAGTACAATTCTCAACTGGAGAGTGTAGGAACATGAGTTCTGGTTGCCCTTAAATAATTGTCTGCTTTTTAATTTGAAATTCTTGGTTTTCTCCTAAGCTGCCCAGAGTTACAACACTTTTTGAATTGGGCAGCCACACACATTTATTAAATAAGTTTTAGAAAAATAATAATTACAGTGGTTTGGTGAGGTGGTAAAGGCCTTGAAACTAAGAGATGGCGAGTTATAATCCTGCCTTAGCCATGAAAGTCCGCTGGGTGACTGGGCTAGTCCCTTTCTCTCAGGGCAACCCACCTCACACTGTTGTTGTTATGGGGAAAATAAGAGGAGGAAGGAATATTAGGTTATGTTTGCTGCCTTGAGTTACCTGCAAAGTAATAAAGGCGGGATAAAAATTTAATAAATAAATACCTCTCCCTATCTACCTTGGACTGCAAGGAGATCAAACCGGTCAGTCCTAGAGGAGATCAACCCTGACTGCTCTTTAGAGGGCCAGATCCTGAAAATGAAACTCAAATACTTTGGCCACCTAATGAGAAGAAAGGTCTCACTGGAGAAGAGCCTAATTCTGGGAAAGATTGAGGGCAAAAGAAGAAGGGGAAAGCAGAGAATGACGTGGCTGGATGGAATCACTGAAGGAGTCGGTGTGAGCTTAAATGGACTCCAGAGGATGGTAAAAGACAGGAAGGCCTGGAGGAACGTTGTCCATGGGGTCGCAATGGGTCGGACACGACTTCGCAACTAACAACAACAACAACAACATCTACCTTCCCCAACAGACAAAAGAGGGAACCTGCGTTCACCTTTGCTCCCGTACAGCTCTCACCTGCATGTGCCTTTTCATGCCTGCGCAGCTGAGAACGTCGGATGAACCTTTTCTCGCACTGGGAACAGGCGTAGGGTTTCTCCCCCGTGTGAGTCCTCTGGTGGGTGAGGAGCGACATTTTCAGCTTGAAGGTTTTCCCGCAATCGGGGCAGGAGAAGGGGTTCTCTTTGCTGTGGGTGGCTTTGTGAGCCTCCAAAGAGGCTTTCTGAATGAAACTCTTCCCGCACTCAGGGCAAGCAAAGGGCTTTTCCCCCGTGTGGATTCGCTGGTGCCGGGCCAGGTTGCTTTTATTGTGAAAACTTTTCCCGCACTCTGTACACAGGGAGGGCTTCTCGCCCGTGTGGACTCGCTGGTGTGTGTTGAGGGACGACTGCTGACTGAAGCTTTTCCCGCACTCTGGGCACTGATAGGGCTTCTCTCCCGTGTGGGTCCTCTGGTGCATAATGAGATGACACCTTGAGTGGAAACTTTTCCCACATTCCAGGCACGGGTGGCATCTCTCTTTCGCCGGGGCCTTGCTGTCTGCGGCGGAGGGATCCCCACCGTTGACGCTTTTCTTGGTGGACTCGTGCAGCATTTCCCCTCGATGCATTCTCAAGTGCAGAAGGAAACCTCTTTTCCGCTTGAACTTCTTCCCGCAGTCAGAACAGATGAAGGGTTTTTCCTTGCTGTGGGTGGGTTCGTGTTCGATAAGGCACACTTTCTGTATGAAGCCTTTCCCACAGATGGGGCAGCTGTAGGGTTTCTCTCCCGTGTGGATCTTGGTGTGCCTCATCAGATTGCCTTTATTGGAGAACCTTCTTCCACAGACGTTGCACAAATATCGCCTCTCGCCTGTATGGACCGTCTTGTGTTTACTGAGGGCCTGCTTCTTAATGAAGCTTTTCCCACATTCGGAGCACTTGTAAGGCCTCTCTCCCGTGTGGATCCTCTTGTGAACAATGAGGGACACGCGGCTCATGAAACTTTTCCCACAGTCGGTACATTTAAAGGGTTTGTCTCCCATGTGGGCCCTCTCGTGCAAGATGAAACTCCGTCTCCAGCGGAAACTTTTGCCACAAATCGAGCACTGATAGATCCTCTCTCCAACCATCCGTGTTCTCTCGTGCGTGTTCCTCTTGTGCTTGGTGAGATTGTTTCTGTAACGGAAGCTTTCGCCACACTCCGAGCACTGAAAGGGCATCTCCCCTGTGTGAACCCTCTCGTGCAGAATAAGGCGGTGTTTCCAGAAGAAGCTTTTGTCACAGTGCGAACATTTGTGGGGCTTCTCTCCTTTGTGGCTTTTCTCGTGACCCGTCAAAGCACATTTGGTTTTGAAACTCTTGCCGCACTCGGGACACAGATAGGATTTCTGTCCGCCGTGTGTGTTTTTGTGGACCACCAGGGCAGCTTTGCCATTGTAGCGTTTGCCACACTCGGAGCATTCATAAGGCCTCTCATCGGTGTGCATGCGCTCGTGTTCAATGAGGGAATATTTAAAGATGAAGGTTTTGTCACAGTGTGAACAGGCGTGCGGTCGGTCCCGGGTGTGAGCTCTCACTCTGTGCGCATTAAGGTATTTTTCAAGGGTGAAGCTCTGGTCACAATCCGAACATTTGTACAGTTTTTCCGCCGTGTGGATCCTCTTGTGTATCCGAAGTAAAGACTTCTGATTGAAGGTTTTCTCGCACACGGGGCACGAGTACGTCTCGCCAGCGTGGATCTTCTGATGAACCGCCAGAGATGTTTTCCAGGGGTAGCTCTTCCCACACTCCGAACATTCATAGGGTTTCTCACCAGTGTGGGTCCTCTGGTGCGTAACGAGAGACGATTCCTGCCCGAAGGCCTTGCCGCAATCCGAACACTGATAAGGCTTGTCTCCTGTGTGGGATCTCTCGTGTGCAAGAAGACAAGCTTTCTTGTTGAACCTCTTCTCGCACATGGAGCATCCATATCGCCTGTCCCCCGGATGTGATCTTCGGTGTTCAAGGAGCAATGATTTATCGGTGAAACTTTCCTCACACTTGGAGCAACTATAGGGCTTCTCGCTCGCCGGAGACTCCCCTTCTACTGTACAACTCTCTTCCACCACTTCGAAGGAAATCCTCCCGGGATCCACTTCCACTGCTTCTTCCAGTTGGCACTCTTGCTCTTCCTTCTCCTGTTCTTGCTTGTCATCTGCGGAATTAAACAAGCGATTATCGTTAGAGCTGGATGGACACAACTGCTGATAAAAGAAACAAATTAAAAATAAATGAAATCTTTTGACAAAGCACTCCAAAACCTATCTGCAAGTCAGGAATTTACTGGAAGGAAGAAAAAAAAAAGATGGATGCCAATAAAATTTCCATCCAGCAAAGGAACAAACAAAGCAGTGATGGCTAACCTTTTCCGGACTAAGTATCCAAGGCATGGACCCAAACCCCCATGCACCCTGCCCCCCCCATGCATGCAAGCACCCCCACGCATGTGCGCATGCCCCCTGCACGCGCCCCGCCTTGCATGCATGCATGGCAAAGACCCAACCAGCTGGCTGATAGGAGGCGCGCACACATAAGCGGCGAAGCTGAACTGGGGCGACAGCTCATATGCCCACAGAGAGGGTGCTACGTGCCACCTGTGGCATGCGTGCCATAGGTTCACCATCACAGAAATAGAGGAAGGCCTTCGGAGGCCTAGCTCAGGCTCAAGCCTGCCTGCCCCAAATCCTCCATCTCCTGGGTACCTCAAGAGTGGGAAAGTGAGGGGCACATGACATAGACTTTGTAACTTGTTAACTAACATACTTACTTTGTATTTTAATTTTATTTTCTCTCTGTTCAGGTTTGTTAGCTTTTAACATTCCTAAACTGATAAACAAGCTGGAGACTAGCTACAGATAAGAAAAAATTTGTTAGTAAAATTTGGTTTATCTGGTTTATCTCTTTTGTGAAGTCCAAACCACCTTTTTCTTTACAATTAACGCCTCTTCTGACGTCAGACCCCATTTTAATGAACAAGTGATATTATGGGATGCAAATATGTAACCCGTTTGATTACATGTAGCAGATTTTCTATGCAAAGGGAAGATTACTTTTATCCAGTCCAACCAACTTTTCCTCTTTCATTTTTCTTTGTTATGTTAGCAATAAAAGGGGATGTAAGCTAAAGATCCGGGTTCCCTCTTTTAATGAGAGGCATCCCTTTCGTCTAAATATTCTGATAAATAATAATAATAATAATAATAATAATAATAATAATAATAATAATAATAATAATAATAATAATAATAATAATAATAATAAATCTTCCTGTCTTGGTCTGTCTCATTGGAAAATATACATGTGGAGGCACGAGCCTGAAACCGCCATATTTGGCCTGGGGTAGGGAGGCAGGTCCAGGCCTGTGCTAAGTCTCCCCAAACTTCGGCCTGTTCCCAAGCCAGCTACTCAACCATGCAAGGTAGTCCAAATTCGGTCAGTGGAAGCGACCGGTACACTGTAGGCCGAGGCCTACTTCCCAGCCAGACACCCAAAGGCCTCCCAAGGCCTACCCCTGTCCCTTGGGACTCCCCAGGCCTCAGCCAGCTCCCAAACCAGCCAGTCAGCCATGCAAGCGAGCCTAAAGCCAGTCAGCAGAAGCAACAGGCAGTGGGGGCAGTTACGGGCTGCCGAGGCCTACTTCCCAGCCAGCCAGCCAGGGACTCCACAAACAGCCTCCTTATAAAACAGAGGCCCCCACAGCCTGCTAAGAAGTTCTACTTGCAGAACAGCATGAGGTTGCCTTGAGGTAGGCGGCCTCTGTAAAAAACCTCAGCCTCCCATCGGTTTTGGCAGAGGAGCCCTGCGGATGCAAACGGATAATTTGGATGCCGCTGGGCCCTCGAAGCTAAATGGGGAGCAGGCCGAATCCTGCAAATCCCTTGAAGGGCTGACTGGGAAGTAGGCCTCGGCCTAGAGCGTGGAATGGCCTCCACCATGTGCCAGCGCCTTCAGCTGACCCAGCTTCAGGATCTCTTGCATGGCTAAGAGGCCAACTTGAGATCGGGCTGAGGCCTGCAGGGCCTGGCGGGATGGGTGGGGGGCAATGCGGCCTCCTGCCTAAGGGCAAACAATGGCAGGATCAGAATTTTGAAACCGTCGCCTCAAATTTTAGAGTTTGTTATTAACATCTTAAAAGGTTCTATTAATACTTTTAACCCAGCAGTCTGGGCTTCTTCTCTATCTATAGGAAAGCATGTGGTTGCTCGCACATCAAAACAAATGATCTTGACCATGCTCGTTTATGGTAAAGGTAAAGGTTCCCCTCGCACATATGTGCTAGTCATTCCCGACTCTTGGGGGTGGTTGTGCTCATCTCTGTTTCAAAGCCGAAGAGCCAGCGCTGTCCAAAGACATCTCTGTGGTCATGTGGACAGCATGACTAAACGCCAAAGGCGCACGGAACGCTGTTACCTTCCCACCAAAGGTGGTCCCTATTTTTCTACTTGCATTTTTTACATGCTTTCGAACTGCTAGGTTGGCAGAAGCTGGGACAAGTAACGGGAGCTCACTCCGTTACGTGGCACTAGGGATTCGAACCGCTGAACTGCCAACCTTTTGATTGACAAGCTCAGCGTTTTGGCCACTGAGCCACCCTGTCCCTTAAGGTTGATTAGCCAAGGTCATTTGTTTTGTTATGCGAGCAACATTCTGAAAGTTCTTCAATACACTTGCAACTTTCAAGAAAGATACTAGCCTAGCAGGGAAAAAGTAATGTAACCAGAGGTGGGTTTCAGCAGGTTCTGACCAGTTCTGGAGAACCAATAGTGGAAATTTTGAGTAGCTTGGAGAACCGGTAGTAAAAATTCTGACTGGACCCGCTCCCATCTATTCTCTGCCTCCCAAATCCCAGCTGATCAGGAGGAAATGGGGATTTTGCAGTAACCTTCCCCTGGATTGGGGATGGAATGGAGATTTTACAGTATCCTTCCCCTGCCACGCTCACCAAACCATGCCATGCCCACCAAGCCACACCCACAGAACCGGTAGTAAAAATTTTTGAAACCCACCACTGAATGTAACCCATAAATTTTGTCATTGGTGACATGCTATCTAGAATCAATGTTTTCTACTGTTCAATTGTTACGTGCAATCAATGTATGTTATGGTTTGTTCATTTATTTATTGATGTATCACAGATTATATATTATTTGTTTCTGTACCCTGTAAAAAGACTTAAACCCTTTTTGCTTTGCCTGTTTTACCTGGTGATTCGTATTTTCAGGAGGCAAAGAAGCTCCTTTGCAAACATAACGGTGTCTTCTCTCCCAAATTCAGACACTAAATATTCAGCCCCTTTGGAGTGCCTCAGTTTTGAGGCAACAAAACCAAGTCATAAGTACCTTTTTTTTGGGAGGGGAGGGGGGTGTCAGTCATAACTTCAAATGATTGTTAAGTGACTGGTTTTAAGTTGAAGACTACCTATATTCACCATCAAGTCTTATTAAAATGGCAGGATGAAAATAAAGTTTTGTGACTATGCCTCTATCTCAGAAATTCCCTCTCTTTATCTCTCTCTGCATGTGTATGTTATGTGTAAATAAATATAAATAAAAAAGTGATACTCATTTTAATTCAATTTGGAAATTATTTATGGATTGTAATTTTTGTGCACAGCCTCCTGCCACACGGGAAGTTTGAATTTCTTCCAACCGAAGGCTTTAAAACACCAGAGTTTGTCTGACTGGCCCTAAAATTGAGAATGGGCTGATTCACGGTAGTTAGAAATAGTATTATGTTGCAGCTTTTGTCCGCCTCTGATTCAATTGTAATAGTCATTTTTAATGTGCTTCAACTGTTGCATGATTATCTTTGCTCTACTACGATTTGTAAGAATATTTGCGGGCTTTTCCTTTATTCATTAAATATCCTGTAAATTTTTAACGTCATTTTTTTATACTTGGTAAACCCGTATTGCATGTTCCCTTATTCTCTTTCTTTTCTTACTCTAAGTATCTTGAGAAATGCCGTCCTAAAATTTATTCACTTAATCCAAACAAACAAATGAATTGTATATGCTCAAAATTGGAAAAATGGAAATATACCCTCTGAGGAAATGGTAATAAAGAAAATATTAGAATGCACTGAGATGGATAGGTTGACAATGGCAATCAAAAACAAAGAAACAGAATATTATTTAACTTGGGATATATGGTATAATTGGCTTGAGAGTAGGTGCAAAGATTAGAAAATTAACAATGAAGGACGATTAATGAAATATAAATTAGAATTAAGTATAAATACAAAGAAAGATGAAGAATACTTATTATATATAATATTAGATCACAGTAATATATTACAAAAAATGTAAAAAAATATTTAGAATGATAAATATATAATGTAAATACAATATAAATGTAAAAAAAAAAAAAACTGTGGATACAAGCCGATATAGACACATTGCAAAGTGGAAAGTGTACTGTAAAACGAAGAAAACTGTATAATAAAAACATTTTAAAAAATAAAAAATAAAATTTATTCATTTAATCCAAACAAACAAATAACCAAACACGGACCCCCCCCCTCCCATGGCCACAACTCCCTTTTGTCCGCTACCTGTCAGGTCCTCCTGGGTGGCTTCGTTGCCTTCTGGATTCTCAGGATTTTCTTGCTCCTCCCCACCATCGCCTCCGTTGGCTCCGATCCTGTGAGGGCCGGCCTGATCCTGGCTCTCCGACACGGCTCCATCTAGGCTCACCCAAAGACAAGAAGAAAAGCAGGGCCTTCAGTCAAGAACATTTTTCAGCTTCAACTTACAACCGCCATGACTTAGAAAAGAAATTCTGCGATCCGTTATACAGTTGTTAAGTTGGGGACTACCACCTGTGCCAAAATGGAGGCATATGACATTCTCACCCTGCATGATTCCATCCTCCTCCTTGGCGATCTTCCTGCACCCCAATCTACGTTTTCCCTGTGAAGGGGTCCTCTTTGTTTTGGAGACATCGGCTGCCCTCTTCTGAAACACAAAAGGGAGCAGGGAAAAACCTGTTAGTAGGATTAACCGCACTGTTCTGACCTAGGCTGGTCCCGACAAAACCCCTTGTATTAAACAAACAGTGAATTCCTCTCATTCACCTTCAGCAAACTCTTTCAAGGGAGAATTTACAATCACAGACCTTATCTGGCTTGGAGAGCTGCCAGGCCGATATCTTCAAAACTTGGCAAGGAGCCTCAGAGAGTCACGAACCAATTAAGTGAACTAATTGTCTCCTGCAAACTCCACTCCCCTTTCGCTCCTCTTTTATTCCCTCTGGGAGGGGGCCATTCATCGTCCACCTGCGGCTTTGCTCCCAAGTCTACCCTTATTCTTTAGCTGTTCCCTTCATCTGGCAACTCTATGCATGCACACACTGGGAACAGGCTCCAGCTGTTCACCTGCCTCACTGATGTTTGACTCTGAAGGTAGCTGATAACTGGCATTTGGCCCTGGCCCCCTCTCTGCCTCCGACGCAGAGCCCTCATCAGAGCCTTCCCCAGCCTCCAGGACTGGCCCATGTTTCTCCCCAACCTCCTCACTGTCCGAATCTGCTGCCAGCTCTGCTGGGAGGCCACAACAAGCACTCAAATAACCACAGGGATTCCCTTAACAAATGTGGCAAGAAAGGTCATACAACGGGGCAAAATGCGCTTAACCGCTGTCTTGCTTAGCAACAGAAATGTTGGGCTCAATTGTGGTCGTAAGTCAAGGACTACCTGTATATAGAACAGTTGCCATATTTGCATGCCTTTTCATGAGGCACCACAGCAAGGATGTTACGGGGCCCATTTAATGTGCGTCTGCTTTGTGAAGACGGGCCTGGTGGCTCAGCAGACTGATAGCATTGTGATTAACACCAGCTGTCTGCAATTACTGTAAGTTCGAATCTCACCAGGCTCAAAGTTGACTCAGCCTTCCATCCTTTCTAAGGTAGGTAAATTGAGGACCCAGTTTGTGGGGGCAATAAGCTGACTTTGTATAAATATACAAAAGTATGAAGGCTATTGCTTAATGCATTGTAAGCCGCCCTGAGACTCCGGAGAAGGGCGGCATATAAATTAAAGCAAAAAAAAAAAAAGTTGTGAGTTGGTGCCTCTGTTTTCATTATTTTCATTATTTGGCTATGGGCTCCTAACTGTTTTCATGTTGTTTTTCCTGTAAGCTGGTTATGAGCTACCCAGAGTTGTGCCTTTAATATTGGCAGCCATATACAGTTCAGTGGTGGGCTCCTCCCGGTTCGGTCCGGTTCGGCCGAGCCGGTAGCGGTGACGATATGACATCACCGAACCGGTTCTCCCCCCTGCCCTCCCACCCCCCCCACGTTATTCTTACCTTTTATTTGGTCCCACCCCCAATCTATTGCTGCCTCCTGAGTCCAAGCTGATGACTAGAGGGAAAAAAACTGTTTAAACTCTTGCCGCGGGGCTTCAAAGGGCCATCCTACAGCTGATCAGTGTTAAAAGCAAACAAATGAGTCGGGTCGTAAGGACTGGTCGTAAGTGCGAGGACCTTCCAGAAATGACTCTGACCAGCTAGCCACGCCCACCTAGTCACATGACCTCCAAGCCACGCCCACAAAATAAGCCACGCCCACAGAACCGGTAGTAAAAAAAATTAGAACCCACCCGATACAGTTTCTAGAGAATAAAATACACCTTGGCCTGATGGATCAATCAGAAAATGCATCTCCCCAAATTATAAGTTCACCCTCTAAATTCAGAAAGCTGGAATCCGAAAACGAATGACAGTTTTATGGCTTTATCATCTGTATCTGCCAAATATTTCCAGAATGAAAGTTAGGCTATCTCCTATATCCAGCGTGCCCACCTCTTCCTTTTGCTGGCTCTTTATGAACTCCTCAGCCAGGCTTACGGCCTGGTCGCAATTGGAAGGCTCCCGTTCCTTGACATACTCCTGCACCTTCTGGGGCAGGATGGCTTGGAACTGCTCCAGGATTACCAATTCCAGCATCTGCAACTTGGTATGTTTTCCAGGCTTCAGCCACTGATGGCAGAGATCCCACAGCCGGCAGCAAGCATGGCGGGGCCCTTCCATCTCTTGGTAGCAGAAGTCTCGGAAATGCTGGCGATGGACCTCGGAGTCGACCAGTGGCTCCTCGGAAGCGTTTTGTCTCGTCTCATCCATGAGCTCCCTTCTGTTCCGAGCCTGGCGGAGGCGAAGGCTCTTCCTTCCTTGGGGTTCTGCGGGGGCTTGGTCTCCTGGCGAAGCCACCCGGATCTCCAGGGCAGAAGCAACTGAAGTGGACAAATGATATTGAAGTCTTTTAGTTCGACCGACCTCTGCTCCGTTTCTCTTCCAGGCTAACAGCAACCAGTTTGCACAGGTCCCTTGCATATGTGAGTTGTGCCCTTTCCTTGACGGGGAGGCCCTTCTGAAAGTAATTCATACCCTAGTTGCCTCATGATGGGACTACTGCAATGCACTCTACATGGGGCTGTCCTTGAAGACTATCTAGAACAGGGGTCTGCAACCTTAAACACTCAAAGAGCCATTTGGACCAGTTTCCCACAGAAAAGAAAACACCGGGAGCCACAAAACCCTTCCCCGTGCCTGACTATTTCTTGAGCGGCCACAAAACTATACGTAGTTGAATTAAACGTTCTGTTTTCTTCTGAAACTTTTCTTTTCTTGGATTTATCTATGGTTGGCCTATCGGGGGTTGAAAAGCTCAATAAACAGTGTGCCAGTGAGTGTCACACATTGGCGGTTGTGACACATATTTTGAGTGACAGGGAGCCACAGCAGATGGGTGAAAGAGCCACATGGGGCTCCAGAGCCGCAGGTTGCTGACTCCTGATCTAGAAGCTACAGCGGGTTCAAACTGCTGCGACGTAGGAAGTAATTGGTGCTTCTCATTATGCCCGTGCATCATTACTGCTCCCTCAGCTGCGCCACTTACTGAACAGGCTCTGGGTGCAATTCAAAGTGCAGTGATCACCTATAAAGCACACCATGTCAGAGCAGCGGGGTTGGACTAGAAGACCTCTAAGGTCCCTTCCAATTCTGTCATTGTATTCTATTTTCTATTTTCTTCTATTCTCTTCTACTTTACTTAAGGGACTGCTTGTCTCTGATGATTTCTGCTTGTCCAGGATGTTTGGAAAGAGCGGGTTTACTACAGCTGCATCAACTCAGAAGACGAGGTGAGTTTTAGTACTTTGGGGGAGATTAGGGTTAGGATCCTAGAAATCTGCTTAAGCAGGCTGTACTGCACCTCAATATTGCTAAATCTGTGAAATAGTTTACCAAAACAAATGGCTATCTCGTATGAGCTGAGGCACGTCAAAAGCGCTGGAATGCTTCTCTGCACTAAAACGTAAAATAATTCTTTTCTCTGAATGAAGAAAAGTAGCATGTCAGAACGTCTATGGAGATTCTCAGTCATCCAGGTCACGGTTGTCCCAAAGGCAGGGGTGAAATGCTCCCGATTCGGAACGGATCGCCTGATCCGGTAGCAATGGAGGCGGGTGGTTCAGAGAACCAGTAGCAAAAATCCCTGCCCCCCCCCCACCATGCCCAGCTGAGCCGCATAATCATCAGAGGCTTTTTTTTTTACTTTTAAAAGCATTTTTTCTACAACCTCTTTGGCTGAAAAAATGCTTTTAAAAGTAAAAAAAAAAAGCCTCCGATGATCGCGCGGCTCAGCTTGGATCGTCAGAGGCTTTTAAAAGAAAAAAACCCTTTTTTTCTTTTAAATGCCTCTGACGATCCAAGCTGAGTTGCTTGATGAGCAGAGGCATTTAAAAGAAAAAAAGTCTCTGCCAATCAGGCAACTCAGCTGGGATCGTCAGAGCCTTTTGAAAGCATTTTTTTACAACCTCTTCGCTGAAGAGGTTGTAGAAAAAATAGTTTTAAAAGTTTTTTTTTAAAAAATTGGCCAGTCACATTACCCCCACCCCCACCAAGCCACGCCCACAGAACCCGTAGTAACAAATTTTAGATTTCACCACTGCCCAAAGGTGCTTTTTCAAGAGGCAACTGGACTTTCTGGGTTTTTTTTCTTTTTCTTTTGAAGACATTTCGCTTCTCATCCAAGAAGTTTCTTCAGCTCTGACTGGATGGTGGGGAAAGGATGGATTTACATTCCTTGCAGACAACTCGTCATAAATCCTTCCCTTCCCCACCATCCAGTCAGAGCTGAAGAAGCTTCTTGATATGAGAAGCGAAACGCCTTCAAAAGAAAAACCAGAAAGTCCAGTTGCCTCTTGAAAGAAAAAAAGCACCTTTGGGACTAACATGTCAGAATTCAGAGGGAAGTTCTATCCAAAATGGTGTGCCATTTATGTTTTCCATAATAACCAACTGTATGTTGATGGCTCCTGAGCAGGATATTTATTTAATTCAATCTGAATTTAATTCAATTCAGTTTGCCTGCAAACTGACTCTTTCCTTACACAGTCAGAACAAGTTATGACTTCCATGGTTTACCACAGGAGTCCCCAACCCCCATTCTGTGGGCCAGCATCGGGCTGCCGCATGCCAGTAACTGGGCCGCACAAAGAAGCGAAGCCCCATCCACAGTATGCAGGAGGCACCAAAACTACACCTCCCTCCGGTCCACAGAAAATCCTTTCTCCAGAGAACCGGTTCCTGGTGCCCAAAAGGTTGGCGGCCACTGGTTTAGAACATGCTGACTGGGGAATTTTGGGAGTTGAAGTCCACATATATTAACAGTGGCCGAGGTTGAGAAATATTGCCCATCACTGTCTGGGCCGCCATATTATACACCAGTTGCAGCCTTTGGGTGGGGCTCTGAGGACTGCCTTGCGTAGAATGCATTGCAAAGGATGCTATTTTAGTCATGCGTGTAATAATGTCATTACAGACAAGACATCATTTGCACATCCCAGTGGCACCCTCTCTGAATTACCAAACTCTGAGGAGCTCCAAATTAATTAAAATAGTCCATTTAATTTGTAAATTAGTAATTTAGTGAATTAATTCAACAAGATTTTGCTGTGTAATAAACTGGCCAATTCCCCATCCCATTCTCTCCACACCCTTCTGCTCATCACCATTATTTATTTATTTATTTATTTATTTATTTATTTATTTATTTATTTATTTATTTATTTATTTATTTATTTATTTATTTATTTATTTATTTATTTATTTATTTATTTATTTATTTATTTATTTATTATATTTCTATACCGCCTTTCTCCCGTAGGACTCAAGGCGGTGTACAGTCAAGAAAAACATAGACACACAAACACCACAAAATTGCTAATTAAAATTGCCACTTAGTTTGGTCAATTAAATAAAACCCAGAATTAGATAACATCTAAAAAATCATTCGCATGTTTGTATGTTTAGCCCTGCCTGTTGTTACATCAGGGTCTTGAGGGCACGGCGGAAAGCACGGAGATCAGGGATATTCCATATCTCCGGGGGCAGTTCATTCCAAAGGGTTGGAGCCCCCACAGAGAAGGCCCTCCCCCTGGGAGTCGCCAGTCGACATAATTTGGCTGACGGTACCCTGAGTAGTCCCTCCCTGTGAGAACGAACTGGTCGGTGGGAGGCTATTGGTGGCAAAAGACGGTCTCGTAGGTACCCAGGTCCTAAGCCATGGAGCGCTTTAAAGGTGATAACTAACACCTTTATCATGTCCCATGCCCCCCATTCATGTCCCAAAGGTGCTTTTTCAAAAGGCAACTGGACTTTGCTTTTCCTTGAAGACGTTTCGCTTCTCATCCAGGAAGTTCTTCAGTTCTGACCGAATAGTGTAGGATGGAACGATTTCTATTCCATGCAGTCATCTGGTCATTAGCGCTCTTTCTGAGAATTGCTGAGGTCACTCGGAGGTTTATCTGTGCCCTCAGGGGTCCCCTGAATAGTGCAACAAATCGATGTGGAAGCGAAAGGTCTTCAAAGCAAAACCAGAAAGTCCGCTTGCCTTTTGAAAAAGCACCTTTGGGACACCCGTAACCTGGATAACTGAGAATCTCCATAGACACTCTGTTCATGCTCAGGATCTTTTAAGCGGTTTCGTCCATTTAATAACAAATGTCATGAAATTCACTTGCTTGCTTTACTTGGACTTGCCGGAGTAGAGTAAGAATGTTCTAGGATGACAATATCATTCTTGGAGGACAAGACGTCAGCATCGCCCTCACCGACCACCGGACAAGTGCTTGGCTCAGGATCGGGGGGATTCCGTCGGACGAGGGGCTGCCCCTTTTCTGAGCTTTCTTTTTGAGCCCTCTGCAAAGGACGGCAGGGGGAAAAGGCATTTTGTTAGGCAAAGAAGAGAAATGCAGCTAGTCCTCGGTTTATGACTTCCTTAATGCTGTTAGTCCTCAACGTATGACCTGCTAAATGCTTCTAGTCCTCGATAAATGACCTGCTTAATAAGCAGAATGACCCCCAGTGGTGAAATTCAAATTTTTTTACTACCGGTTCTGTGGGCGTGGCTTGGTGGGCTTGGCAGGGGAAGGATACTGCAAAATCTCCATTCCCACCCCACTCCAGGAGGAAGGATACTGCAAAATCTCCATTCCCACCCCCTCTCTGGGGACAGCCAGAGGTGGTATTTGCCGGTTCTCCGAACTACTCAAAATTTCCACTACCGGTTCTCCAGAATCTGTCAGAACCTGCTGGATTTCACCCCTGAATAATCCTATTTCCAACTTCAATTACAGTTATAATTGAACCCGGAATTAAGATTATGCTGGTTCTTAAGCAAGTCGTTGTGTGACCAACCTGATTTTATGCCTTTTTTTGCAGTGGTCATTAACTGAAGAGTATGGTCATTAAGCAAACCCATTGCCCGAGGATTACTTGTACAGATTGATTTACTGTCTGAAGTTACAACAGCACTGAAAAAAGTGATCTATGACCATTTTTCACACTTATGACCATCGCAGCATCCCTACAGTCACGTGGTCAAAATTAGGACAGCTTGACAACTGACTCATCTTTATGACGGTTGCAGTGTCCCGCAGTCATATGATCATTTTTTGCGACTTTCTGACAAGCAAAGTCAGTGGGGAAGCCAGATTCACTTAACAACCGGGTTACTAACTTAACAGGTCATAAAATGGGGGAGGGGGAGAAAAATCACTTGACAACTGTCTTGCTTAGCAATGGAAATTTGGGGCTCAATTATGGTCGTAAGTCGAGAACTACCTGTATTAACTTCCAGGGTTTGAAGTTATTTTACAATGTTCAACTGGTGTCTTTTCTTACAAAATTCTTACTTTCACAAGACTTGAGGGTGACATCTCTATCGTCTCTCAACATAACAAAATTCCAATAGACTTTAGTTATTCTGATTTTTCTAAATAATTATACATTTGATTCCAATTAAGTATCAGGACCAGAAATGAAGATGGTTAAATGTCAAAAGAAGTAACTGACCAGGCCCTGATTTTTCTATCTGAGATGGTTAAAAAAGAGCAAAATAAACTTCAGCAGAGGGGAGGAAAAGCAAAATAAAGCAAAATACCTTGGCAGTGTTTAATTTTTTTGAATTGACAGAGGTATTAAAGATAGTTGGGACGGCACCCGGCTTTAAATTCCTTCTCCCAGAAGCTATCCTTCCCCAAAAATCCGTCTTTCTGAAATGTTCCGAACACACGACATCGTCGTAAGAGGGAGCGAAATTCGGACGGCCAATGCTTTTGATCCACTTTTTTAACTGCCTCTCCTTCGTAAAAGGAAACCTGCAAGAACAATAGAAAAACTGTGTTTAAAAAAAATAAAACAAAAGTGAAACTCAGCACAGGGATGTTCACACGATTATTTACGAAAGGATTTAATTCTCTGGTTGAGCGAGGGGCTGGATCAAAATAAAACAGAAGAAGCCAAGGGTAAATCTGGCTTTGTAAAAAAGGGTAAACCTTTTTTTTCCAAGGTTGACTCAGCCTTCCATCCTTTCGAGGTAGGTAAAATGAGGACCCGGTTTGTGGGAGCAATAAGCTGACTTTGTATAAAAAAGAACACCGCTTAGGGGTGGGCCGAAAGCCCTACTAAGCAGGTATAGACAAAAGTATGAAGGCTATTGCTTAACGTATTGTAAGCCGCCCTGAGTCTCTGGAAAAGGGCGGCATATAAATCGAACCAATAAATAAATAAATAAATTTGCAATTTCTTTCTTGGAGGGACAAAATGGCAGCTTCCAGACAACCTCACAGGACCAACCATCTCTTAATCACTTTTCACTCTTCTGCGCAAAAATGGTAGTGAAGCCGAGCCAAACAATTTAGAGGGCTTCATTAACATTGAAAGAGAAGAAGGGAAATTTTCATGGTAGGACATGTAGAAAGGAACAATGAAATTAACAATGAAATTAATGCTGCTTGTTGAAATGGGTGGCTATAGAAATAAAATAAAATCAGTTAATCAACCAATCACCTCCCCATTACAGGTAGCCCTCGGCTTACAACAGTTCGTTTAGTGACCGTTCGAATTTACAACGGCACCGAAAAAAGTGACTTATGACCATTTTTCACACTTAGGACGACTGCCCCATCCCCATGTGATTTACATTCGGATGCTTGACAGCTGACTCACATTTATGACGGTTGCAGTGTCCTGGAGTCACGCGATCCCCTTTTTGAGATCTTCCGACAAGCAAAGTCAAAGGGGAAGCCGGATTCACTTAACAACCCATGTTGCAAATTTAACAACGGCAGTGATTCGTTTAACAAATTTGGCAAGAGGAATCGTAAAACGGGGCAAAACTCAACTTTACAAATTTCTCCCTTAGCAACATAAATTTTGGGCTCTATTGTGGTCGTAAGTCGAGGACTACCTCTATCCAGTTCAAAACACAGCCTTCTCTATTCTCACTACCAATTCGAAGCCACGGGTTATCCTTGCTTCGCTTACCAAAATCACAATGGTATATTTAATCTAAATCCAGACTATGCTGGCCTCCAGACACAGAGACAGGAGGCTGGAGTGGCCACAAACAGGGTCCGCTCCTGCTGCATCTTTACTGCTCCCCATTTAATAATAATAATAATAATAATAATAATAATAATAACCCCTCCGAGGAGCTCTACCTTGTCGTGGTGGAGGGGCTTGCGTGCTCTAGTGATCCTAAGGGCTATGCTGAACAGGTGCAACCATATCAGACAGACCTTAGGTGAAGGGCCAGACAAAATCTGCTCCACAACCCATTCAAATATGGTGAATACAGAAAAAATGAAATTTATGCCGGCTGAACCGTCGCCCGGATTAACAAGGGTTCCGTTGGATGCTATGGCTCCTGGGCATTCTACGCAAAATGAGTTACAGGGCTCAGCTCCCTCTGCTAGGCAACCAGGGCATGGAGCTGACAAGCTACTGGAAGAAAAACCCAAAAAGCGAAAAATCTGGACCAGGGATGAAAACATCTCTATTATGAAAGCTTACTATCAGTCTGAGCCAGCAAAACATGGATTTCAAAAAAGAATGTATCAGATTTGGAAGATGAACCATACGGACTGTGACACCAGTGAACAAAGGTTAATGGACCAACGACGTGTAATCCTAAACCACAAATTTTTCACTACAGAAGAATTAATAGCAATAGAAGAAAAAGCAATTAATGGTCTGAGTACAACAACAAAGAGGAGTAACATCAAGAATGATTTCCAGACTCAAAAGCAAATTGAGGAAGAAAGGGAAGAAGAGGATACCGAAATGGATGAAGATAAAGAACAAGGAAGCACTAAAGAACAAACACCAACAGATAGTGCTCAATTAGCTGGAAAAATAAAGCACCAAATGGAAGATGATGAAAGAACACGTTTGCCAAAGCTGAACCAAGTGAACCGGAAAGAATTGAGAAATGTACTAAAAAAGGTCAATGAGGCTGTGCAAACTATTCGAACCACTACATTAGCCCAAACAAACCAACTGATGTATGCAGCAGCCGTCATAACCACCAAAGAACTGGGGTTGAAAATACAAAAGAACCAAAGAGGCAAGAAGGGGAAGCCTAAGTGGAAAATTTGGTTAGAATTGAAGATCAAAAAAGTACGTGGAGATTTGAGCAACTTGAAGAACCTAAGGCAAGGTCAGCTAAAGAACAAGCAGGTCAAAAGCAGCCTGGAAGCAAGATACGATCTAAGGAATAAGGAGATTGCAGTAGTAATTGAAGAGCTGAAGCAGAGGGTTGTTGCCATCGCTGAAAAGATTAAAAGGTATGAAAACCGAGTAACTCAGTTCAAGGAAAACTCACAGTTCAGAGCAAATCAGCACCAGTTTTATAAGAATTTAGAAAATGGAAATAGAGTAACAACAAATGAAAAGCCTGATAAAGAGAAAACTCTGAAATTCTGGAAGAATTTGTGGGAAAACAACAAGAAGCACAACAGAAATGCAAAATGGATCAAACAGGTTGAGGACTCTATTAAAATGCATAAAATGGAAGACGTGAAAATAACAAAAGCAATGGTGCAAAGACAGTCAAGAAAAGTGAAGAACTGGAGTGCACCTGGACCGGATGAGCTGCATGGCTTCTGGTTAAAGGCACTTACAAGTCTGCACAAAAGATTGGCAACCCAGATGAACCAGATCCTAAAAACACCTGAAAATGATGGATGGATGACAACTGGAAGGACATTTTTGATCCAAAAAGATAAAGAAAAAGGAAAGGACCCTGGAAACTATAGGCCAATCACCTGCTTGCCAACAACATACAAGCTTCTTACTGGTATCATTGCAAACCAAATCTATGGATACCTGGAAAGAAATAACTTGCTTCCTGTAGAACAGAAAGGATGCTGCAAAAACTCAAGAGGAACAAAAGATCAATTGCTGATCGACAAGCTAATCCTAAAGAACTCAAAGAAAAGACGAACCAACCTGTTCATGGCTTGGATAGACTATAAGAAAGCATTTGATTCAGTTCCCCATAGCTGGATCAAGAAATGCCTGGAAATCTTTGGCATCAGCAGCAACATACAAAAATTCATGGAATGTTCAATGAACCTCTGGAAAACGAAACTCATGGCTAATGAAGAAGAACTGGGTGAAGTTGAAATTAAACGAGGCATTTTCCAGGGCGATTCCCTTTCACCCCTACTTTTTATACTCTCAATGCTACCACTGACAATCATTTTGAAGAAGATGAACTGTGGATACGAACTTGCAAAGAAAGGACTGAAAATCTCGCACTTGATGTACATGGATGATTTGAAGCTGTTTGGTAAAACAAAAGCTGAACTGAATTTATTAATTGAAAACACAAAAGAATTCAGCCAAGACATTGGTATGCAGTTTGGAATTGACAAATGTGCAACAATAGCAACCAAAGCAGGCAAGATCATAGAAGAGGATGGAATAGAACTAGAGAATGAAGAAATGATAAAGGCAGTAAAATCAGAAGAAGGCTACAAGTACTTGGGAATTTTAGAAGCCTCTGACTTAATGCATAATAAAGTCAAGGAATTAACTTCAGCCAAGTACATTCGACGAATTCGTAAGATATTAATGTCCAAATTGAGTGGAGGAAACATCATAAAAGCCATAAATACCTGGGCTATATCTGTGATTAGATACTCTGCAGGAATAATTGACTGGACCCAGATGGAGTTAGACAATTTGGACAGAAAAACAAGGAAGCTTATGACAATGAATCATGCCTTGCACCCTAAAAGTGATGTTGACCGATTATATTTACCAAGAGCAGAGGGTGGTCGAGGACTCCTACAAGTAAAGCAGACTGTGGAAGAAGAAAAATGCAGCTTGAATGGTTACATCCAGAAAAGTGAAGAACCAATGATTAAGGAAGTAAATAAAGGAGGCCTTTTAAAGACAACTAAAACAAAAGCAGAATATAAGAAAGAAGTAATTGAGCAGTGAGCTGAAAATTGGAAACACAAAGCTCTGCATGGCCAATACTTGAAAAGTATTGAAGGCAAAGCTGACCAGAAACTAACTTGGAACTGGTTAAGATCAGGAGTACTGAAAAAAGAAACAGAAAGCTTTATTTTGGCAGCTCAAGAACAAGCCCTAGCCACAAACTGTATGAAGGCAAAAATTCAACATGTTACCACCAACAGCAAATGCCGCCTCTGCAATGAAAAAGAAGAGACAGTTGACCACCTGATCAGTGGGTGCAGCAAAATTTCACAAACTGATTACCTACAACGCCATGACCGTGTTGCTAAAATCATTCACTGGAAATTGTGCCAGAAGTTTGGATTTGAGTACAGCAAAAACCACTGGGAACATCAGGTTGAGAAAGTTTTAGAGAATGAGAAACTCAAGATCTTGTGGGACTTTAGGATTCAGACTGACAGGCACTTGGTCCACAACACACCTGACATAACAATAGTTGAAAAGAAAAAAGTATGGTTCATTGACATTGCAATACCTGGTGATGCACGAATTGAAGATAAGCAGCAAGAAAAAATCACAAAGTACCGGGACTTACAAATTGAAGTTGAGCGACTGTGGAAAAAGAAATCGTGTGTTGTCCCGATTGTAATTGGAGCCCTCGGAGCAATACCCAAAGGGCTACCCCGCTATTTAGAAATTCTAAATTTGCCGGACTTGAACATTTTGACTCTACAAAAAACCACCTTACTCGGAACAGCTTACATCCTCCGACGATACCTTAACAGTTCCTAGGTCCTTGGTTAGGACTCGAGCTGCTGAGCTATTAACCAGCCTCAAAGGCTGTGAATCTCACTAAAGATTAACCAATAAATAATAATAATAATTTTATTTCTATACCGCCCTTCTCCCGAAGGACTCAGGGCGGTGTACAGCCAATTTAAAAACACAAGACACAACAATAATTAAAAATTAAAATAATTAAATAGATTTGGCATTGGATTTACATCAATTCCCCTCCCGCTGCCAGCATATGCAGATGTGGAATAAAATGGTGAAGGGAGATTCAAGCTCGCTCACTTACCTGTGAAAAGTGACACGGGATCCATGCCACCGGCGGTTTTTGCAGTTGGCCACCGAGCAGGAACTTGCCATGCTTGTCTTGAAATCCCTTGTGGGATCGAGCCAAATCTCTCGACTTTCTGTTGCTATCCTGTGTTAAATCCAGCAGCTGGATGCTTTGAAATTACAAATGAAAAAGCTGAAAATCTCCCCAAAAGACAGCTCTTCCTGGTAGCATGTTAGTTTCTCAGTAAAGCTCACCCACATCAAACTTGAGGATCAGCCCAGCACAAAAGTGTATTTAAGGCTGCCTCTCTAGGACTTTGACAGTTCATCGCTTTGTGTCTTAAACGTCTCCAATTGAACCAACAAGAGGAAGAAGAAATATTTCCTCGCAATACCTAGAAGAGATTAAACAATAACTGTTAACAAATTTAACTAAGCTTCCCACTCACTCCCATTTTCATCCCTGATGGATAATTGCAGGTAAAGGATTTCTGATTTCTATTCTGCTTATTTCCAGGCAGGTTGAGGATTACAGAATTATAGAATTAGAAGAGATCTCAGAGTTCATTTATTGCAATCCCTTGCTCAGTCCAACATTGGAAGTTGAAGAAATGTAAGATTATCTAGAGCAGAAGTCTTCAAACTTGGCAGCTTTAAGACTTGTGAATTTAAATCATGATTTAAATTGTGATTTAAATCAACTCGATTTAAATCAAATCCACCCTGCAGTGCAGAGAAAATATAATCTTACTCTGGAGAAATCTGAATTTTAATTTAGCCGAGCAATCTTTGCCCAACAAGTCGGAATTTATCAACTTCACAAGCGAAAATACACACTATAAAGGAGTCCCCCTGAGAAATAAAAATCATGCAATGCAGCCATAGATGTAAAAATTCTAGAAGGATACCTAATCGCTCACGTTTCAAATTAGACTTGGAAGTGGCTGTATCACACACGCACTAAACACCTCTTGTGTAACCATGTCAAAGATGTGCGTCATATTAAACCTTCCCCTGCTCCCGATGGGGAACTGAAGAGTCAGGATGGGCAAACTATTGCAAAATCATCAGGTTTTTTTTCCTTCTTCAATAGAGGGTTTCCCCCCCCCCCCCCGATTGTTCACTTAATAGGAATCCACAATCATCTTATCTGTGAAAGGGACGCTAACATTTTTCTGTAGTATTGAAAGGTGTCAGCGAACCATCACTGGAAAAAGGGACAAGAAAACTTTGCCTAATAGTTGCAATTAATTTTCCTCTCTGCTCCCAATTCTCTCTCTTTCCCTCTCTCCCTCCACACAAACACACAATCTGGGGTTCCTTTTCCAAGCATCACAATTGTCGACACAGACGGCAGCTTGAGTTTCCAAGCAATAAACAACAAAACCCATCCACCAACAGGCAAAGCTCAGAGAACTGGGAAAAACAAAGAGGTCGCTGCACAGAACTACTCCCGGCACCCATGTGAAACCCGGTTTCAGGAAGCCACGGCTAGATTCCCGGGCCCCGACAAGCAAGCCACATTCCGGCGTTTGCACGTGATCTTTTTCCACAATCAACTTTCCTAACAATCTTTCTCCTTCGTGTTACGCAAACAGGCAGGCGAAACTCCCTCATATTTTCTTGGCCTCCTCTCTGTATGGGCCAAAGCACAGGGTTGTTGTAGAAAATACTCCAGTCCTTTTTGCTCATCCTGGGCAGTTTGCATTAAGACTTGCCAAACGTGTGCAGATCACCCAGCCAAACAAATCCAGTAAAATAACCCTTAGACTAACTTCATTGTCAGTTTGAATGTACACTAATCAACATACATTAAAATGAAATTTGTTGCATGCAGCTCTCAAAGGGTCCCCATCTCCAATATACACTACATAAACATGACAAAATAAATGCATACATACAAAATTATGCATATACCCACATATATATGATACGAAACAGAGAAACAACAGTCTAGTTCAGATGCATACATGTACATGAGTCTTCGGAGAGGGGCGGCATATAAATTGAATTAATTAAATTAAATTAAATTAAAAAAAACTCATTTAAAATGGGTTGAAATGTTGGGCAATCTTGTGTCTTTCTAAGTTTCCAGCTAGCTGGAACAACAACAAAAAGCCCAAGATGGACTAATTTAGCCAATGAGGGGGTCCTCTGAGCTTTTTTTTAAGAGACGTTTCATGACCCTCACTAGGTAACGATATCAGTGCTATCCCAAAGGTGCTTTTTTTCCAAGAGGCAGCTGGTCTTTCTGGTTTTTCTCTGAAGACGTTTCGCTTCTCATCCAAGAAACTTCTTCAGCTACTTTCCTCAGAGCTGAACAAGCGTCTTGCATGAGAAGTGAAACGTCTCCAAAGAAAAACCAGAAAATCCAGTTGCCTCTTGAAAAAGGAAAAAAGAAAAAAGCAACTATGACCTGAGATGACTGAGAATCTCCATAGACAACATCAGTACTGGTAAGTAACTGTCAGTTTATATTCTGGGGACTTGCCTGTCAATGTGTGGATGGCATAAGCGTACCCCAATCAAGAAACTGCCCAAAAAGCCAACAGCAAACACCCCCAACCAAAAACATCTCTAAAACTCACCCAGATTAGGCAAATCACCAGAATATAAACCAGGATTCTCCAAACTTGGCAACTTTTAAGACTTGTGTACTTTCAACCCATGCCGGTTGGTGAATTCTGGAAGTCGAAGTCCACAAGTCTTAAAAGTTGCCAAATCTGCCAATATAAACTTGACAAGCAAACCCCCACTCTCCTACTAACCCTGATGATGTTACCTAGCATGGCTCACAAGACGTCTTGCAAGAAAAAAAGGAAGCTCAGAGAAGGACCCCTCCGTACAACCCCCCCCCCATGTCAACCCAGGAGCTGCAACTATTTCTCCTTTCTCGGGAATTTTTAGCCAGGCTCCATAACACAAAGTGGCATCGGGATTGAGCTCCCGCGTCCATCCATCCATTCGAACCTCCGGGATCTGCAAAAATTCGGAGCGGGCGCTCCAAAACAAGAGTAACCCGCGCATCGGTTTGCTGCGATGCACGTGTCATCTGGATTTTAATATTTTATTTTATTTTATTTGCACACCGGATCAGCTAAGCCTTTTTTTTTAATTTTTCAAATTCCACCCACGCGCCCCAGTTGGCCCTAACTGGGGATGGGATGGGATTGGGGGGGGCTTATATCCCATCCCCAGTTAGGTGCAACTGTATTGAGTTTTTTTTCGATAGATAGATAGATTGATTCTATATAGATATAGATATATAGATATAGATTTTCTACCCGCGGGCGCGGAAATGCAAACTCTGCAGTTAGGTGCAACTGTATTGAGTTTTTTTTCATATAGATAGATAGATAGAGATATAATAGATAGATAGATAGAGATAGAAAGATAGATAGATAGCGAGATAGATAGCGAGATAGATAGATAGATAGATAGATAGATAGATAGATAGATAGATAGATAGATAGATTCTATATAGATATAGATATAGATATAGATATAGATATTCCACCTCCGGGCGCAGAAATGCAAACTCTGCAGTTAGGTGCAACTGTATTGAGTTTTTTTCATATAGATAGATAGATAGAGATATAATAGATAGATAGAGATAGAAAGATAGATAGATAGATAGATAGCGATATAGATAGATATAGATAGATAGAGATGGAGAGATAGATAGATAGAGATAGAGATAGATAGATAAATAGATAGATAGATAGATAGATAGATAGATAGATAGAGAGATGGAGAGATAGATAAAGATAGATAGATAGAGATATAGAGATAGAGATAGATAGATAGATAGATAGATTGATTCTATATAGATATAGATATAGATATTCCACCTCCGGGAGCGGAAATGCAAACTCTGCAGTTAGGTGCAACTGTATTGAGTTTTTTTCATATAGATAGATAGATAGATAGAGATATAAATAGATAGAGATAGTTAGAGATAGATAGATAGGTAGATAGATAGGTAGATAGAGATAGAGATACATAGATAGTTAGAGATAGAGAGAGAGAGAGAGAGAGAGATAGATAGATAGATAGATAGATAGATAGATGATAGATAGATAGATAGATAGATAGATAGATAGATAGATAGATAGATTCTATATAGATATAGATATTCCACCCGCGGGCGCGGAAATGCAAACTCTTCAGGCACGGAGGGTGGGGGAAAATATATTTCCCCCCACCCTCCGTGCCTGAAGAGTTTGCATTTCCGCGCGGCGGGTGGAATAAAATAAATAAATAAATAAAAAGCGAGGAGGAGGAGGAGGAGGAGGTGGGGGGGAGAAATTGGAGGAAAAAAACGAACCAAGATGGCTCCGCGCGCAATTGCGAAGCGTTCCCCGCTTCAGACAATGGGTACTCTCCGTTCTAGCCTTTTGCATAAGTCTACGGTTGAGAAGAGAAAGAGAGACGCGTGTTTCCTCCCCGCCCGGAGTTGCGCGTTGTCAGCCAGCCTCGGGCTCCGTGCGGCTTTGGCCAACCCGCCTCCGTTCCGCCGCCGCCGCCTTCCGACCCTGGGCTCCGGCTTTTCTTTCCAAGCAAACTCACCGCTTCTTCTCCTTTTTCTCCCCGCCGCCTCTTTCTTTCCCTTTGCAAACGGGCGGACACGCAAGAGGCCGCCTTCACACGACCGCGGATTTAAAATAATAATAGATCCTTCCGCTCTAAAAAGATATACGATTCCCCCCCCCCGCGCCCCCGGGCCGGGTTTTTTTTTTTTGGTTTCTCCCGAAAGGCCAAAGGCCCCTCAAAACCCCGGGTGCCTCCCCTCTCTCTGTCTTAACTCCCCCCTCTCTTCCCCCCCCCCCCGCGAAGACGGTGAAATGGTTTGCTCCGCTTGGTGGAGGGGAGGGGTAAGAGCGAAGATGGCGACATAGGCTTGTCCCACTTCGAGGAAAGGGGGGGTTTGACTTTTTTTAAAAAAAATTCTAGCTGGTCTTGCAGTAGCCCAGACACGGTGCGGGGAAGATTTTAAAGAATTTTAAAACAGGTTCGATCCGCCGTGCTGGCTTTCTAAGGGGTGACATCGTAACGTTTCGAGGGTTTTTGGGATTAAAAAGCGGCGATTCCCCCCCGCAGCGGGTCTTGAAATGGTACCGCCCGCTCTACCCACCGCTTTCGCTGCGCTTTTCGCTCCGCCTCCGAATCAAGGATCGACGAATTGAGCGCGCGCTGAGTCCGGGCTTCTCCCGACCCGAAAGGCGACTTCTTTTTTTTTTCTTTTTTTGCAACTTAATCTCTGGATTGCATAAATTCATGACGCTTCATTTCTCAGCTACCCGCGACACGGCAGGGTTGCATAAAAAGCGCTCTTACTTCGGATTAAACGGTGGAAAGGAAACGCGTTTGCAAATCAATTCGTTTTAATTTAAAAGATAGTACCGCGGTCAGCGCTGTTTTTTTATGTGTGTATTTTTTTTAAAGCGTGAATCGAACATTAAAACGGTGATCCGGTGCTAGGTTTTTGTCTGAAGTGGTGTAAGGTTTCCTGCCTAAGCAGGGGGTTGGACTAGAAGACCTCCAAGATCCCTTCCAACTCTTGTGATTCTATTCTAGGTAAATAAACCCAGAGAGTTGAGAATGCGAAAGCAATGCAGACAAAGCCCTACTAAGCAGGTATATACAAAAGTATGAAGGCTATTGCTTAACGCATTGTAAGCCGCCCTGAGTCTCCGGAGAAGGGCGGCATATAAATCGAATCAATCAATCAACCAATCAGTCAATCAATAAATGAAAGGGTAGAGCAGGGGTGGGCAAATGTGGCCCTGTGGACTTTAACTCCCAGAATTCCTGAGACAGCTTGGCAGTCTCAGGAATTCTGGGAGTTGAAGTCCACAGGTTGTAAAGGGGCCACATTTGCCCACCCCTGGGGTAGAGGGTGGTTGGACTCCGATCCCATCAGCCCCTGCCAAGGGTGGGTAGCAACCAGGATCGATGAAAGAGGGCCGTATTCTGAGATCTTGCTGGAAAGGGGTTTTCAATTCAAATCAAAAGAATGTGAAGGATACGTGTTTGTGTTTTATTTTTATAGTTATAATGTCCACGGAAGATGGCATGTAATTTCGTATGAGGTGCAATGACAATCAAGTAAACTAAACTAAAATTATGCACCGAGACTACCGGTTTGCGCTTTTCTTGGAGGTAGAAATCAAGTCATAGGAGAGCCGGAAGTGAGGGTCTACATTGCACCTCTATTTATTTTTTTTAAATCTCTATGGCGGGAGTGGGACAACTATAGAATTCTGGGAGTTGAAGTCTAATAGGTCATAAAGGGGCCATAATTGCCTACCTACCCCTACTCTATGGAAGGCAGTTGGGGTGGGGGGCAATGATGAGTGGCTTCAATGTAGATAGGCAGGAACTGGGCATCCATGCATCAG